GAATTCTCCACCATTATCAGAGCGAAGTGTTTTAACTTTAGTGTCAAGTTGTCTTTCTACTTTTGCAATATGATGTTGTAATTGCGCAAAAGCGTCTGATTTGTGTTTGAGAAAGTAAAGATGTACTTTTCGGGTGAAGTCATCATAACAAGACAGGAAGTAAACTGCACCACTAAGAAATGGAGTTCGTGCTGGTCCCCACAGATTGAGATGAATGACTTGTAGCGGTTCAGTAGCACGAATTTCGCTTGGAATTGATGGTAATCTCCTCCCTTTTCCAACTACACAACTTCTGCACTGAAAATCTTTTGCATGAGAGTTTGTAAATTCACATCCTAACCGTCCTGACTTTGACAAATTGATTAAAGCGCCAACATTAAGGTGTCCAAGGCGCTTGTGCCAGTCTAGGAGTAGGTCAGTTGTGTTTGCAACATTTGCAGAAGGAGAACTTGCTTGTTGTAGTAGATAAAGACGATTTTGTTTTTGCGCAGAGAGAAGAACTTGGTGATTCTTGCAAAAAGTTGCAATTCCCTTTCTAAAGCGCCATTCTGAATCTCCCCCATCTTCTGATGCACCCACAGACAACAAATTTCGGTCCAAACCTGGTCCTAAAAGTGTGTTTGGGAATTCTACGCCGTTTATAACTAGTGTACCAGTTTGTGTACATGGTAGAATAGCGGAATTTCCGAATTTTACGCGAGTTGGAGGGATGGAATGGATTGACAGAAGCGAATTTTTGTCATTACACATGTGGTGTGAAGCACCAGAGTCAACCACAAACATTGACTTCGATTTTTCAGCTGAAAAAGCGATGGGATCGTCTGCAGTAGCTACAGCAGTGAGAAAAGCGCTAACATCGGAAAGATAGGCAATATTGGCTGTCGCTTTTGATTCCTCTGTTGCTTTTGGTTCTTTTAAAGCAACATTTGCGCTTTTTGAACTTTTCCCTCGGTTTTTGCAGCAGTTTTCGGTGGAATGACCGGTTTTCTGATGAATAGAGCAGTATTTGGAATGATCTGCTGGTGGGAATCGATCAAATGGTTTCTTTGGGTTGTTAAAAGTTGATTTAGAGCGAAATTTTGATTTCGCGAACATTCCAGTTGCGCTTTCTCCCTCAGTTTTCCTCCTACTCCATTCTGCTTGAACACCAGCCTGTACTTCGCTTGAAGATAGCGATTCTCTAAGCCAAAGCGTCTGTTTAAGCGTTGTAAACGACTCTGGAAGCGCCAATGTCATAGCATAAGCTAACATTTTGTCTGACAAGTTCTCCCCAGCCGAATTTAACTGTGCATGTGCACTGCGCTGTGCTGCAAGCGCAGGCATCGGATCCTCCCCTTCTAAAATCGTTTTTCGAGCCATTTCTTGGAAAAGCGCAGCTTGTCTGGCTCCAACAGCTGCAGAGTACTGTTTCTTAATCTCCTCCCAAAGCGATTTCGGATTTGGCGATTCCCAGTCCTTAACGGCGGTAGGAAGTGCTGAGGAAATGGTTTCTGAAAGGGATTGGAAAATTATTGAGTATGCTTTTGCAAATTTGAGACGTTCCTTGATGTTTTCCTTATCTTTCAAGTCTTTAGATGGCGGTTCGGCGTCGATATACGGTAGTAATCCCTTGCCCATAAGTGTGGTAGCGACATGAGCTTCCCATTGCGCATAATTCTCGCTTCCTTGCAATTTTACAATTTTTACTTCTACTTCGGTGTCAGATGAGTCGGACATTTTTCAAGATTGAATATCTCGATAACGAATGAAGGAACAGAGCTGATTTTGGATGTGGTGGTAGACACAATGTGTTCCTACAGGTGTAGTAAAATCGAGCCCAGTCGGTTCGAAGTGGACCAAGTAAAACTAGAAAGACGATTTTTGCGATTTTAAATTTGGATTGTGGTGTCAAATTTACTAAGTCCAGATAACTTTGAAACGGCTGATGCTACAATGCTGCGATCAAGGGTGGTGATGAACGCAATGGTAGAGGATGTGTGGGTGAAGTAAGAGGACTGGAGGTGGAGTATTGATTGAGATAATGGAAAAGCGATATTTTCCGAATGTAAATCATTGGTTAGAGTTGTCTCCGGGTTGAAGTCAGTTTGGTTAGAGTTGTCTCCGGGTTGGGTATTTAACCAGCGACCGGCGGTATGCAGTAACCGCCGGTTAATAGGCCTTTTAGCACAGTGGTTTAGACCGCTGCCTCTGAGGGGCACTGTTATATCGTCCCAATGCTGGTTAGTTGGTCTCGTGACACTCTGTCATGATTGCTGTCCCTTCTTCTCTAATGACTGACGGCCAACAAACCTCGGCTGACTAGGTCGATGTCTCACAGAGACTGGGTAATTGCCAAGGAACTACGGCTAACTACGCCATAGTGATTCATCGAGTGGTAAACAATAAGAAGACCATTGATGAACTGCAGCTAACTTTGCCGTGGTGTGTCAAACGGCTCGGTGGTAGGTCTCCCTCACTTGATGGTTGTGTCACGGTCCTGTCCTTGACAGATCTCTAAAGGTCAAAGACAGGTGGACTGCAACTGTTTAGTTAGCTTGAACAATGACAGTCAGTATGTTGTTTGTGAACTTGTGATGTGGTTGGACGGCTAAAGTGACTCGCGAAGGATCTGAGCAAGTCAAGATGACGACAAGAGTGTGTGATATGACATGGACAGGGGTTTTGACAATGGAAGGCATGTTACAGATGTGTATATGTCAAGAAGAGAGGTCTTTGTGAAGTGGCAAATATTATTTTGATCCTTGAGAAAAAGAAAACTACAAGATAGATATGTGCTCCTTTTATACCTTTCAGAGGAATTCAGATGGGCTTTTCAATGAGTCAATGAGTTGACTCATTCTTGTCTTGTCTTGTCTCTCCTCTTCCCCTCTAACCTCATTATCTCATTGCGTCTCAATGAGTTTTCAGGGTAACTCAACTCAGACGAGTCATGACAGGTTGTAGCTACTGAATATATCTCTGGCTACTGACAACAATCAAGGATCACTGAAGAAGTTCAGCAATCTGCAAACTATCTATATGTCATGAATCACAAGTATCAGTTTCCGCATGTTTTAGTTCTGCTCGGATGCCTTTGAGGCAAGTGACCTGAACCTTTAGTTAGTTATGTTATTCTCAGTTATGATGCCTGGTATGGCATGAGACCCAAGACTTTAGTTTAGTTAGATTTTAGGCGAACGTATGGCTTACGTCGTCATGCGTACTTCTGCGTGCAGTCAACAGCGTATTATATGCAGCACGGCGAGAACAGGGCGCAGTCAGTTGCTGTGAGTCAGAAAACAGTAGGGAAGGCGAGGATTACGACGGTTTCCTACGCAGGACGACTCCACCTGGTAGAACACCTGTTTTATAGATATAAACCCCTCATAGTTTTACATACTTCTTCTTTAGTTCTTGATCAAAAGTCATTTCCATTGCCACCCTTTTGGAGTCCAGTCCAGTCCAGTTCCCTCTAACCTTGTAAGACAAGCCAGAGACATTCCTTGGGTCACAGTCCCATTCTTTGTTGGACTCAGTCTTGTTATCTTAAGTATATTCCTTGTCACTCCTAGTCCTTGTCCCCTTGTCCTTCGTCCTCTGTCCCAGGGTGGGCAGTATCCTTGACACTATACATATCTACTCTCCTCGTAGAATATCTGTCAACTCCTGCACTGCCCCACATTCAGTCCTGCTTCATTCAACTTCACCGTACCTCGCCATGTAACCAATATCCTGCTCCACTCACTTTGCCGCTGTCACAAATAGTGATAAGGAATTTTAACTCATGCTCAGATTAGTGGTAAGGAAATATGACTCATGCTAGGAACTGTGATAAGGATTGAAGGAAAATATGAGTCATGGTATTTAGCAGTCCAGCAGTCAGGCATTTGTGTGATTGGCTGAAGCCTGGATGTCATACATCACCTATCTGCCACTTGTCAAACTGCTTTTGCGCAATCAGACACTTGAAACACATACCCCTGAATACCTCCACCTCCACATGCAGGAACCTTCCACCATTGCCTCCGCCTTTACCTCCACTTGCTTATCAAGCCTCCACACTCTGGAACATTCTGTGCCTGCCTCCACCTTCCCAAAGTAGAAACTCTGGTTGATGCTGTGCAATCATCCATATTCCGGAACATTCAGTGCCTGCCTCCCTCCACTTTCCCAAAGTAGTAATTCAGTCTGCTCGCTGAGGCCGCAATCTTTCCCACGTTCGCACTTTCTAGTTTATTCCGTAGACATGTTGAGCAACCCGCTTAATGGGGATAAATACCCCTGTCATGAATAGTGATAAGGAATTCTGACTCATGCTCAGAATAGTGATAAGGAAACATGACTCATGCTAGGAACTGTGATAAGGATTGAAGGAAAATATGAGTCATGGTATTTAGCAGTTCATCAGTGAGGCATTCATGTGATTGGCTGGAATTAGTTTCCCGCGGTGCACTCACTTTGAGGCATTTATGTGATTGGCTAGAGAATCCCTCACACGTTTTTTATTTAGTACACCGACTTTAGTTTTGAAGGGTATAAAAGGAGCACATCTCCCCCCTCTTTCTTCAGCAATGTATCTTCATCTTGAAGTTGAACTTCATCTTTGAAAGTCACCTAGTTGGTTCTAACCCACCACCTCAGTACCCTCAGTACCCCAGGCAGTCATGAAACTCTACAAGCCAGAGACTAAATCCCTTCAGTACCCAAGGTGTAGTCGCCGGTGGATCCTTCTACCAGTCTCCACCACCTTCCACAACTTTCCACCACTTTCCATGCTTGTCCGTTTATTGCCAATCCTGTCTACATGCTTAGCAAGCCTCCACCTTCGATATGAGGATATATACATACACAGATTGACAGTATGCATCACTCTTTTCTCTTTTGCCTTTCTACATTGGAGTCGTGTGCTATTCTCATCTGGCACGCGTCTTACACAAGGCAATGAGTGCTTTGGTACAGTCTACCCGCAGGCTTGACATACACCTTGCATAATCTATCTCTACAAAAAGGTGCCTGCTCGTTCAATGTGCATAGTCGTACTTTTCAAAGAAAGTCCTCGCATTTGTCGTCTGGTTGTCAACTCGTCAGCTCGCTTTTCGACCCGTGACCGGCTCCAAGATGATGGGAGGAGATGAGGGCGACCCGCTCACTTCTGCTTTCGGACCCCTATGCTTGCCCCTGGCTGAATCACGTCCCCGGCGCAAGTTGCGATCCTCCCGAAGCCACTCCAGGGCGAGATGGAAAAGACTGTCAGGATCACGATCTGTTTCCGCTGTGGAAGCATCGCCGGACGGGATAGCCAGGGGCCAGGGAAGCAAGGGAAGGGCAGTACCGAGCTGGAGATGACATATATGAGTGGGGAAGGACGATAAACCGTCAAAGATGTGAGTGGCGTCTGATACCGTCAGCGGATACTACTACTGATGGACATTGTTTGGCAAAGCCGGGCTGGTCGAGACATCATGGTATCGAAACCGCCTGAGTATCCTAGCTTCACATTGTGACATGGGAGGTCTTTGGAAGATGAGTGGGGGATCATGGTGTTCATTTACAAAGGGAGGGAGGGTATGCAGGAAACCCAGACGCACATAAAATGGTTGCGTTCCTAATCTTTGATTCTTCGACGAGGAATTCAATCAGATCTGCCCGGACCAGAACATCCAGATCCACGGTCACCTACCATGAGCACATCGCCGACTGTTTGGGTCCCTCGGTATCTTCCTCTGACACGATGATATACAAGAATTGAGTGATGCGCCCGTGAGCAAGGTGTCGAAGAAAAGCATGATGAGGAAGGCTGGTGGGTGAGAAGGAGACTTGAGAAGAGAGATCAAGTCCTATCGAGAATGAGAAGCCTACCTCGTCCAAGAGAAGCACGTCCCAGTGACCCATCAGACCCATACAAAGCTGTACCCTTCTCCGTTCACCATCAGATATCTGGTGCATGTGCCTGTGATGAGCTCGATTCCATGCGTGTGTTACTTGAAATGACAGCATCCATCGTGCTCCACAAGCCAGAGCCGTCTCCGGAGCGATGAGGGGTGCTTTACGGAGACCGACCATACAGTCTGGCACGGGGTGGCTAGTGGGATGAGAAGAAAGGTTCTTATGTAGGGTGTAGAGTGTAGACTCGGAAGCACATACCAATCCACATCCACGTCCAATATCCTCAACAATCTATCCCTCCTCTCCTTATGTCTGTACCCGCCCACCGAATCGAGGAAATCAGAGACGACGATGTCACCCCTGACGACGGGATTGGACGACCATTCGGTGCCGAGGTAGACGACGCCCTGGGAGTGAGCGCTGAGTAGTACTGCAATCCGTGATGAGACAGATGTTGAGCCGCAGAGAGAAGGATGGAGGACGATGGTACAGATCAGAAGAGGTCACGAGTCCACTCACACCTGGAAGGTTATTGAAGACGTCATGACCGAAGATACTGCATTTGGCACCTTTGATCAATCTCTTTCCGGCGAGGATGCGAAGGAGTGTCGACTTGCCAGCTAAGGAAGACAAGGTGAGCTATACGCAGAGAGGAAATGTTGAACACTCACCACCATTGGCACCGATGACGAGACAACGACTGCCTCTGTGGAGAGTGAGAGTGACGTCTTCGAGGGCAGGTTCGAGATCGTGGGTGAAAGAGTAAGTCAGTCGCTCTACATCTATCGCCGACACTAAGAGGTCGTCCGTCATCGTCACTCGAGTAAGCTATAGCTGACTCGTCACCGATCACCGAGGAGATAGAGGAGAAAGAAACAAGGGAGGGCAAAAGTGGATGGATGAATCAACATCATGTCGATCGTGAGAGTCAAGGGGCAAGCTGCAGATATGACGCTCACCATCGCCCTCGCCATCGCCATCGCCATCGACGTCAGTCACGTGCGACTCGGCACAATGGCATGGCAACAGTCAGGACAGGCATTTGCATTACATTGAGATTTAGACTATCGCTACATAATCACACCTACGTGAATTTCCCTCGTTTCATGACATTTCTCAGTCCTCCGCCCCGAGTCATTGCCACATCTGACAAAGTCACCTAGGCCACAGCCGTCGTCCTGTTGGCTCCCATACCGGCACCGGCGCCGTGATGTCCAAAGCCAGTGGTTCCCGTCGCATGTTCCGTATCAGCACCGAGACCGACAGCCCTCTGACGCCTCATTCCCGCTTCCGTCTCGAGTCTCTCAGCTTCTCCAAGCTCGCTCGCCTGCATCCTCAAGTGATCCGCTTGGGCGAGATGAGTGTTGGCCTTGTGACGCATGTTGGAAGAGCAAGTGAGGTGCGACAGAGTGGACTCGAGCTTGCCCTTGCGTTTGAGCTTGGCAGCTTGTCGAAGGGTGGGTGCCGTCGCTGACTGACCACCGGCGGTCCCTTCTGCGGGTGCTCTCGTGGTGGACGCCGGGTTGGTGGGTGCGTTCGGACCCAGAGGAGCAGGGCCGGTGTGGGCCTGTGCATCAGCTGACTATCCTCAAACTGGAGCGATGGTCACGAAGGAGAGCAGGAAAACCAGGAGTGGATAAGCATGGACTCACTCCTGAAGGTCCAACGCCAGTCGTTGCTGCAGCTCCAGTAGCTCGAGCGGTCCCAGTGGTTCCAGAACCCATGGGCGTAGTACCGTTGATCTCTCGATTCTTGTGAATACCTCCGTATCCAGCTCCAACGTTCGCATTGCCGTGCTCGTAAGGATTTTCGGTACCGGTGGCGGCAGTTTGGTGCTTGTTACGCAGGTGCTGACCGTCTCCTACCCTGCCAGTCAGCGATATGAACGCCATCACGAACAGCATATCAAGACCAGGAGGAGAGAAAAGTCACTCACGCGCCACCAGCAAGAGCGGCGTCTCGGGTAGGATGGTTGTTGGCTTCGTGATGAGCCACGCCACCGGCGATGATACCGTCGCGGGCGGGACTGGGAGTAAGCCTGCGTCGAGAGAGGATGTCAGAAAGAGACGTACTGATGTGTGCCAGTGGTGCCAGTCCTGGCGTGTTCATTTGATCTACGATTGAGAAGGCCCATGTTGGTGTTGGTGTGTGCTATGTTTCAAGATTGTTAGGTCAAGTGGTAGTACTGGTACTGTAGGTTGATCAGTCTGAAGAGGACGAGGTGTACGAAGAGAAATCTATTATAGATGACGAGGTGGCAAGGGAGTTACTGTGGTGATGCTCCTTTCAATTACGTCACGGGATAAGGGAGGACGACGAGGGGTGGAGCGATGGGTGGCCGAGGGTGGTGGAGGGTGATGATGTGATGGAGGCTGTGTGAGGTGGTACAGTACGAGTACTCGTACTGTAGATGTAGACACAAAGGGTAAGAAGAGAAGAGTGAAGAGTGAGGTGGAGCTGGAATGTGGAGGAATGTGGGGCAACGTGGATGGACGCGAGGTGACGTCATGGTGCTGTACGTACTCGGAATAGCGTCTAAATGGTCATCCCACTTTACGACGCGTCTTCCCCACAGGGCTGCGCGCTGCGAGGTACTTACTGCGCGTCGTTGCTCCATGCTCCTCCTCCCCACTCATGTCGTTGAGCAGGCCATCAACCGTACAACCTCAAGATGGTGACCCAGAGGGGTTCTTTGATCGTGAGAGAGACAGGTTGGTGGCTGACATCTCGACGGTCAGTAGTTAACTCCCCGAGTCACCTGTAGACCGTTGACCCCCAGGCATTTGAAGAACTCATGACCCACACAAACGTCCTCAACAGAAAGTTGGAAGAGGTGTTTGGTGTCGGGAAAGAGTTCACCACCGTTGCTTCTCTCTGGGGGGTGAGTTGTGCGCATACACCATACCCAACTGATCACAACTGAGCTGACCTCACAGAAGTTTAACGCGTTGATAAGGGAGCAACGAGTCAGTCGCTCTTTCTCCCCCCCTCTCTCTTCCCCCCGCCCTCCTTCCGTCTTCCTAGTCGGCTCTTTCGTGTTGCACCCTCCCACTGTCGCTGACCCTCAGACCGACCCTGCACCAGACATAGGAGTTCCCGGGACTGGTGGTCAAAATTTCGCTGCCAGCGTCGCTCGGTCATGATCGATAGCAATGCACCCAAATTTGCATCTTATGCAATTCTCTCGCTCTATTCCCGCCTGTTGTCCTCTACCCACTCACTCATATGCACATGTCCATACCCAACCCTCAGTAATCCTCACCGAATACCCGACTCAGTATCAACCGCCTTAGCTCTTCAGAACCCGGTGTACGAGTGATGACCATGGGTAATGCCTTGGGTTTGATCTCTTCATCCCCTGGCTGTCCCTCCTCTTTCCCGCCCTCCAAACTCGGCACCACCCCTTTCGCGGCTTGGGTCACTTGCCAATCCTCGTTCTCCGTCCTCTTCTGACCTTCCTCTCCCGAACCTCGTCTGTCCACCACACACATGCCCCTGGTGTACTCACCCACACGTTCTATCGTAAATGTCCTCCCTTGAGCTTGCCAACCGTTCGGCAAGACATGTCCGTAACGCTCCACACCTCCTTGTTCCACTCCGGCTTGAGCCAGGGCGAACCACACGGCGACGGGATCGTGCATCTCCAAAGCGTCTTGCAACCCGAAACTGGCTTGCAACCCCCGGACACGGAGCAGCATGGCGCTGACAAACTCTCTGATGGGTGTGAGTTGCATATGCCTGGCAGTGTCCCCCGCAGACGTGTGACCTTGGGAAGGGAGAAAAGCAGGGTGGATCAGGTCGGAAAACGGTATCTGGTGCGGAGTGGTAACGTCCAGAGGAGCCATGTACAGTTGGAACAGACCGTCTCTGCAAGCGTCGAGCAGCCGGGTCGCGGCGTAAGGGTCTGCGAAGCAATTGAATTCGGCGACGGGTGACGTGTTACCAGGATGGTCAAGAGCACCTCCCATCCAGACCACAGATCCAACTCGACGAAAGATGTCGGGGGATTGTGCGAGGGCATGAGCCAGGTTGGTCACTGTGCAAGGTCAGCGACAGACACAGGTGCATGTCACTGTTCCGGGTGCTGGGGATCACTCACATGGTCCCAAAGCGACGATGGTGACGGTACCTTCTGGTTCGGTCTGCAAGGTCTCGAGGATGACTTGATGAGCGGGACGAGGATCAATCTGGAGATGTGCGTGAATGTCACCTTTGGTGAGTTCGGGAGGGGTAAAGTGAGGGTGTGTGAGGGAGATGTTGGATAGACCGTCTGGGCCGTGCTAAGTACATGTTTCAGCTGGATCATCATGTATGCTTTCTGAATCAAAGATGTCAACAGACAACTCACAAAATAAGCAGCCACCGCCTTGTCCCCACCGATGGGACCATCCTCACCCATGACCAACCTCGTCTTGCCCCTACCGCCTTGCTCTTTGAGTCGATGATACCTACTGGCAGCGGCAGGCATGGCCATGATCTCTTCTGCCAGCATGTGATATATCTTGAGCAGGTTACGATGGGCGACGGGAGCGTGAGTGTTGCCGAACACGATGGAGATGAGGGTGACGTCTATTTCGGGGGAAGCCAAAGCTAGGAGGATGGCCAGGACATCATCCACCCCTGGGTCTGTGTCGATGATAATCTTTCGCTGCATGATGGGAAGAGAGAGCGGTGTATGTTTATGATAGAGAGGAGTGAGTAACGTGGTCAAGTAGAGATGAGCAAAAGGGGGTGGTGACAGGTGATAGAAAGAAGTAACTTGGTAAATTGATCAAAGGCAATCAACTGGGTGCAAGGGTAAGAAGGAAAGGAGGAAGGGAATGCAATTTGTCGCTACTTATCACCACCCTTTGTTCTCTTTATTACTACTATTACTACCACTACTATCTCACAGACGAGTATCATCTCGCGCTAAGCGACCAGGGGGCATGGACGAAACACTACTCCAAGCTGTCGTCGATAACAGTCAGATCCCCCATCAACCTTTGGTGCTCATCACCCACTCCGCCCTCTTCTCCGCCAGGCCTCTGTTTCATGATATCGTCAAGAGGTCTTCCCGAAGGTGAGTATTGCTCGTTTCAAGTCAGCGCTGACCCACAAGGGGAAAGGGTACAACCCTCGTGTCCGTTCTATATCCTCCGGATACCATCACAAATGGCCCAGGGAGCAGGACCAATGTCGTCGATCTCACCAGCTCCATCGATGGATATGGCACTTTCACAGATTGGGACTCGATTCAAGAACGTATCCTAGCAAGCTGTGTGTCTTTCTGCACCTTTAATCTCACAAGCGTCGCTGTGTAAGAGGCTGATGTCCAGATGAAACGACTAGAGGAGAGGTCATCATCGACGCTGTGGACATTCTGGCAGAAGATTACTCCATACAGGTGGTGGTGAGACTCATCCGGACCCTCTTGAGACGAATGAGGGAACATAAAGGTATGTTATCGTCGTCTCAGCTCCTACCTCGACCACCTCACTCTTGCTCCCGACCTGAACAGTTGCTCACTCCTACTGTCAAAGGTCCTCCCCACATCTCAGGTTCACAATGCTAACAACCAGCGCCTTCTCGCCTCGTCCTCATGTTATCCCACTCATCTTCCCTTTTCCACCACCTCGAATCCACCTCGCTCTCATCAACGTTGACCCATCTGCACCCATCCCATCCATCACTTCTCGTCCACCTGTCTAAACTCTACCTAACACCTATCAGCCCTTCTCCAAAATATTGGCAGATCCTTCAAATAGCTCACGCTCGACGAACTTCCGAGCATCTCGCTTACACCGCTCAAGAGGGCTTCGAGATCTCCCCTTGGTCTACGCATGCTGCATCCTCGTCAAGTGAATCCAGTCCGACTTCCGGAGCAGTTGTGCAGGTTTTGGTTCGTCGCGCAGCAGGAGGGGCGAAGGGAATCACCAGAGCATTGGCAGCATTATTGCCACCTTCATCCGACGGTCAACATTTGATAATCGACAACGTAACACGTATCGTCCCCCTCAACCCATTCAACCCTCCAGACAGTCTTCCCACGAGGGGCGAGAAAGAGGTGACGCATGCCGATCTCAACTTGGCTTTCAACCTCACATTGACAGACGCTCAGAGGAAACAAAGGATGAGCGTACCTCTACCTTATGCTCATGAAGGAGAAGGAGCAGATTTGCTGTACGAGGAGGAAGACATGAGCGACGAGGACGAGTAGCGGGTCGGGTCACACTTCATCGTCAAACTATCACCCTCTTACATGCCGGTGAGTTTACAAACGTCTTAATCCCGGCTTCCCCCTCATGAAGCTGACTGTGCAGGGTGCGCAACGGGGACATCAGAGTGCTCTGCTTGCTGTGAAATTCAACTCCAGCTCGACTACGACTCCGTGGTCGCAATCGCATAATCCTCTGTGGCTCAAGAAGAGCACGGCCAGGCAGACGCAGAGTGATTACCTATCGGTCGATGGCTCGAGGGGCAGCGAGCGACTGGAGGGTAGACAGATTGTACAAGCGCCAATGACCCATGCATATATTCGCCTAATGACGCCTCTTGTCTGATCTATTGCCATATATTCGCAAACGGATCCGACTTGTCATCTTTCTTGGGCACTCCACCGCTCACGCCTGCGGCCATGGTCGAGCCATTGGAAGGACCGGGGGTCGCCCATGGATCCGATGTTGACGACCACGGGTCTGCCTTTTGGCCCTCAAGCCCGGTCACCCCAGGTGACAGTGCGGTGGAGCTTTGTGTCGATCCCCACCCCGCTGGTTGTGCCCAAGTACCCGCTGGCAATGGTATTTGCGTCTGCGTGAATTGCGGTTGAGGCGGAGCGCTGCTTGTGACACCCCCTCCCCAAGATGCAAAAGGATCCTGTTGGTTCGGCGGGTTTGGCGTAGGTTGAGAGAAGAACGAAGTTTGAGCAGGAGCGGAAGTCGGTGATGTGGCGGAGAAAAGGGACATGATATCGTGCTTGTTCGTCTTGGGAGCAGCCGGAGCGGAAGTCGTCGAGGGGGCGTGAAAGTCGAGATCGAAGATACTTGAGTTGGTTGTAGCGGGAGGCGGGGCAGCTGTTCCCACAGCAGTGGCAGGTAGTTGGGCCGGAGCAGGGGCAGAGGTGGGCAGAGGATCGGAGGCACCTAAGAGGTCTACGACTGGAGCCAGTGTGGGAGCTGCCGTGGGAGTGGGAGTGGGATGTTTGCTTTGGCGTGAGAGGAGAGGGTGAGCTCGGGAAGCTGAAGCTGGAGCAGGGGCGGTTGATGTAGGCGAGGCTTTTGGAGGTGAAGTGACCTGGGGGTCAGGTCCAATGCTCGGTAGATTTGAACGCCTGGGGCATGACACTCACCGGTGAAGTGACAGCGTTGTCCAGAATACTCGGGTCAGAAGGAGGAGGTCCGTCCATGGCCCAACGACGGGACTCGTATTTTGACCGTATGAATGAATCGATTTTGCTACACGTGTTAGTTCTTTGATGGCTCACCCGTGGTAGAAGACATGGGGCTGGGACGAGGCATAACGTACTGTTCCGGAGGTACATGACCCGCTTTGAGGTGTCTTTCCCAATACAAGTTTGCACGACGATTTCCCCATTTCTGAATATGCTGAGGGTCAGTTGTGTTCCTCGGGGGACTGGATGGGGTCAAGTGGGCCGAGATGGAGGACAGAATATGTGACACACCTCCATCTGCTCCGGAGTCCAGATATCCAAGTCTATACTTTTTACTACGAGTGAGCGCTGACCTGAGGATCGATGTCCAAAGAGTAAAGGGACGGACGCCCCACCTTTGCTGATGTGAGTGCCCATGGATCGATGTATTCCAGAACAGCGGATACACAAGAAGACTCCTCTAATTGTGAGCGAGGCAAGGTCGACTAGGGTAGGGGAAACACTGACAGATTCCAAGATGCCCAACGAGCGTCTGAGGGTGAGCGTGGGGACACATGACCAGAAACACGAGAATACCCACCATTCTTCCTACAATCAGCACATGCCTTGTTGTCGGGTGATCTGACCATCTCTCGCAAGAGACGAGCATGTCTCTCCGTGGTGGCTTTGTCTATCATGTCAGTCAGTGGGTCACGTCGTGGGCGGAGGTCCAACTCGAGCTCACCTTGTCGAGACATGGTGCTAGGAGCCGCTAGCTGCTAGCTGCTGAGTACTAGGTACTAGTACTACTCGTGTTCAAGGGAGGAATGCTAATTGTGCTGAAGTGACACGAGGTCGGGGGTAACGTGAAGCAGAGGAGCTAGGCGCGCCAGCTGTGCCCGACAACTAGGGTTTCACGCGCCTAGTGTTCCCTCGATGAGACTCACTCTGCTCGTAACTTACTTTAAATACTTAGGCTCACATCCATCCACCACCATGTCTTCTCAGCTCGAGGCCACCTCTGCTATCGTGAGTCATGTTTGGCCAGAGATACAATCCGCTTATCTTCAGCTCGGCGAGTACATGCTCAAAGGTTGGACGTTGACCGACTTGCACTGCGAGGAATGTCGGGTCACCCCTTTGATGAGGGAACCGGAGGTCATCGCTATCAGGCAGGGGAGGGACAGGATACAGTTCTGCGCCTTGTGTGATGGTCCTCCCGGAGACGACCAGACACGAGAATCTCCCCAAGCCGCTCCACTTACCGCTCGTTCTCCTATCCCAACACCGTCTACGAAACCCGCCGAATCTCCTCCCCCTTCCTCCCGTCAAACTCCCTTGCTAGACAAGGCAGATCACGACCTTGCGGCGGAACGGATATCACATCTCCTTCTCCAAGGTTACTCTCTCCTATCTGCCACCTGTCCCCATGCGTCCTGCAGAGGAATCCCCCTGGTCGGCTACCCGAAACGAGAAGGAGGGGCGAGTAGACGTCTATGTGTGGGGTGCGACACCCGATGGGTTGGTGAGGTCACGGTCACGAGAGAGCTTGACAATGCTAGCAAAAAGAAAGGGGTGGACAGTCCTAGGACGAGGACGAGAAAGGAACTGTATGGTATGACCGAGGCGTCGACGGTCGAGGAAGAGAAAGGCAAGGGTCAAGCAGCTCCTGTCGTCCCTCCTGTGAGTTCGCAGATTCTTTCGCTTTACCTCGTCGCTGATGGGACAAGCCAACAGTCGGGAAAGACGAGCCCATCAAGCAGCTACCCAACCTCGGATCCACTCTCGACACCGCGTCCTCTGCTTTGGCACGTACGATAGAAAAGATTGCGACATCGCTCGACGATCTAGTACTCAAACCGACAGAACATGGACGATACTTTGTCGACGTCAAATTACACACCGAAGCGCTCAAGGATATCTTGGACGTGATGGATAGGCTAGGCAGGCTGCCGAGGGAGGGTAATAATCAGGAGGTTGTTCCATGATCCAAGTCATAAGCTCGCTATCCTTGATTGTGACGTGACAGTACTGAGTAGAGCAAAGATCTTCAAGTAGCTATGGTATTCCAGTGTCTGATGTGATGGAACCGTTCCTAGGCATTTCCTCCGTGTCACCTGTGAGTAACCCAGCATCGCTATCCTCCTCCCATTAGGAACGTCATGAGGGTGTTTTGGTCCTCGACCCTGGTTCCCGTCTGCGGCAAGCCGTGCATCTCCAACCACGCAGCCGCCGTGACGCCTGACATCCGTCGGACGTCAGCGGCGCTACGTGGATGTCTCCGCCACTGTACAGTGTCATTCCCCAGCACATGCCCGAGATGGTGACGACTCACGTTTTGAGGTAGCCCTTCCGGCACTCTGTACCCCGACGGAGCAACCAGGCAAATCACGGGCACCCATCTTTGGTGCGCGAGCGGGGCGTTTGTCAAAGAGTGGAGTCGGTGATTATGCGTCTAATTCGTTATCAGCACAAGCGCCGTGAGCGTTATTGATGGAACTTCACCATCTCCGCACGCTGGGCGGTCCGTCCTGAAGTCTCCCGACGGGCTTCAGCGACATCCCGACGAAATTCAGCGACATCCCGACGAAGTTCAGCGACATCCCGGCGGCAATCCCGTACATCGCGATGAAGAGCTAGGATGCTCTGTTGGATGGGCTGTGTCGCATGTAGAACCACCTGCTGGATGGCCGCAATAAGCTGGGGGTCCAGTCCAGGTGCGACCACAGGGAGGACTGCGATGCATCAGCAAGAATCAGGCAGAGTGCTATCAGTGGGGGGGATAAGAAGCCAGCTACTCACGTAGCGTGTCCAGCAGTCGGTTCTTAAAGTCGACGGCCCGGTGCCGGACGGGATCTAGCCTGCACTCGAGGGTTCCCACAAAGACTCGGATGGCGTCGAGGACGGGGGGAGAGACTGGAAGGGGGATTCCAGAAGGAGCGAGTACAGAAAGGACAGGGTCAGCCTGCCAAAGAGCATGTGTCAAGATGGCGGGGGGGATAGGAAGCAAAGCTATAGCAGCCATAGTTGATACCTAGTACCTAGGTATGGATAAATGTTACAGTAGTGTGGGCATAGAGTGACTAACTAGTAGTAGTAGTGGAGATGGAGAGGACATGTTTGTGCCTGGCGATCAGGACAGGTCACGTGCGCTGCAACCCCCCATCCCATGCATATACATATGTACGAAAAACATAACTATCCGAGATGAGCATTACTCAGTCCTCTCTCTCCGTAGCCTTTCTCCTATCAACATATACTCGCCCAGACACTCGGGATTACGCAACGTCGCCAGGTTAACACTCTCAATGTCTCCCCCGTTGATGAGTTTTCGTATGGGCACTGACGTTAGTCATCCCTTCCTCGCAACCTCCGAACATGCACTCACCTTCCACCTTTTTGCCCGTCAAGGTGACAGGTATATCGGACACCTGAAGGATTGTTGATGGGACGTGTCGAGCGCTTCGAGACAATCGAATGCTTGTTCGAACTTGCTGTAACAGCTGGTCGTCCAAATTCAATCCTTCTCGCATCTTCCGTCAGCTCCGAAACAAGTCGGAACTCACCTTGACAAACAACACAACCTTCTCATCCGCGCCTCCATCAACCACCAGTCCGACCACAAGTGTCTCCTCCACCCCACAGTCGGCAAATTCTTCCGTCTCGAGTACAGAATAAATGTCCGTGGGACCAAACCTGATACCGCCAGGGTTGAGAACCCCATCGGACCGACCAAGCATTATCACCCCGCCGGCGTTGCCTGAGCGCGAAGGCGTGATCTGCACGCTTTTCGTCAGTTTGAAGCAATGACCATTACTTACTAATCACCATGATCTGCGGATGAGCTATGAGGAGGACGGGAAAGAAAAACTCACACCAGTTGCCTTCAAAATCCTTATAGTAACTCTCCTGATATCTGACCTGAGCGGCTTCCACTTCCGACTGTGAGAAACCATATCCCTTAAGCGGCCAGAATCCTACAGGTTGAATGGGGAAGGCTCGGGTACAAATGAGTTCTCCGGGAGCACCAATTTCGGTCGTGGCCGTGTCCAGTGCACTGAGGTAAGTGATTTGTTTCTCGGATGCTACTGTACCCCGAATGAGCAGGAGTGTGTGGCAAGCCAGTCAGTGACTTGACTCACAATCCCAGCATCCGACTCTGTATTTCACCTCGGAACACAGGAAGGCATGTGTTCCTACCCGCAAAAACTGAACAGATGTCTGTCCCACCGGTGATGGAGCCGAGAAGCACATCCGATTTGATATGTGAATAGACAAAGTCGTACAGCTGAGATGGGAGTGGGGAGCCTCGTGGACAGGATTTGTTGCAGAGTGAGTAGGGAGTGGTTCTGTTTGACGTTGGGATAGTGTTTCTACTGATCAGCTCCAAGCTTGATCAACTTCATCGGGACTGGTCTCAACTCACAGATATTTGTTCGATCCATTTAGCACTCGTCCCAAAGATTGTCACCCCGAGATTGTCTATCGTCTTCCACAGGAAGCTCGGATCTTTCAACGGACTTCCTTCGTACAAGACGATCGTCGCTCCCGTGGCCAGGCCCGATACGAGATATTGGAACATCATCCAACCTCTGCACGTCAATAGTGACTGCAAGTAGACTCAGTGCTTACGGAGTGGTGTAGTAGAAGAAAACTGATCCTCGTGTCATATCTCCTGCCAAGTGATGTTCCCTCAAAGAATCTAGCAGCATTCCGCCCTGTCGGTGCTACGTGTCAGTAATCACTTCTCTTAATCGCCGGAACCTATGATTTTCTAAGAAGCTACATTGGTGAGATATCGTTACTGAAATCAACTCACTACAATGGCTTTAGGTCTTCCAGTCGTCCCGCTGGAGAATAGAATCCATATGGGCTCGTTGAAGCCCATCCGAATGAACTCGATTTGGGCTTCTGACTCGTCCAACCAATCTACCCACCGATCCAAGTGAAGCCCGGCAGGCTCGGCCACCATATGGCTTGAAAGATGCGACACCACGACTATCTTCTCTGGCATCTGGTCCATTTCTCCTAACAGGGCCGTAAGGTTGCCCAAAAGCGGCCTGGGTGTCCCTCCATATACAACGCCATTCGTGACCACCAAGACTTTCGGTCTGATTTGGTTCAGTCTCTCCGACAACCCTGCCGTCCCGAAATCCGCTGCTGCGCTGGAGAATATCGCCCCGATGGAGCTCGTGGCAAGCAGTAAGACCACCGCCTCTATGCAGTTTGCACCCCACCACGCCACTCTATCGCCTTTGCCCACACCGCTTCTTCGCAGGCTGCGTTGACATCGACCTACCAAGTCAAGGAGATGAGCTTGACTCAGACGTACCTCTGGAGGGTCCCAGCCGGGACAGGATTCTGAAAGCTGGATGATGGCAATGTCTTCAGGATGAGTGGAAGCGTGTCGGAGTTGATTCTCTGCCCAATTGAGATGAGCTTGTTCGAACCACAGGGGGTTGGCGGAAGGAGGGAGGGATTCGTCCACGTAAGGGGCCGACCCCTTATGTCCGATGACAGAGTGATGGTCCCATACTTGAGACCAGAAATCGCTCCTGTTGTGACAAGACCATCTCCACAGGTCCTCGTAGGTGTCCAAGGAGACATTGTAGGTCTGGTTGATGTATCGACGGAACGAGGCGGTTTGGGAAGTGTGATTAGAGGGTGGAGACCATAGTGTGGATCGAGGTGAGGGAGTCATCTGTATACCGTAGTTGATCACGAGTTACTGGGGACTCGGTACTCTAGCAGTGAGGTGTGAACAATGTATGATGGAATAGAATGAGATTGTGATGATCTGATGGGCACGTTCAAGGTTGTTGATCCCAATCCATAAAGTCGGATAAAGTTACATCGCGTTCGTAGATCTGTGGTTTGCCATCAACCTGACCCGCCATCCGCTCACCTATACCTTGATGTGCATGTGCCGAACCATGAACAAGAGTATCCATCTGGACGGAAGAGGTCCAAACGACTCGTACGCCCAACTTGACCAGAGCACCCCAGTAAGCAGAATTGACCACTTGAGAGACCTGTGCATGAATCGCCGCTACGCCAGCCCCCGGTGACTCGTCCGTGTCGTCAGAGGTATCGTCACCCCGACCGACGTGTTCCCATGATTGTGGTCCATGGTGCATACTCTGACGCAAGGTTCGAGCCGTCATCCCGTCCCCCGCCAGTTCCGAAAGGTATCCCGCTAGTATGGGATTCGCTGACACGCTGGCGCCGTGGTTGAATCTTTCGTCTTGCCCGTCAATCTCCAATGGACCCTGGTCACCGTTTCCATCACCTCCTCTACTAGGACTTCCTCCGTCACCTCCTTTACCTCCTCCACCTCCTGCGTCATCCTTACGTCCTTCCGAAGAAGAGACGGGGGTCCGGCGCGGTTTAGACGGATTGGACTCTGCGGCGGAGCTTCCATTTTCCCTGTTGGTAGATTCTTTATCACTACTCTTCAATTGGTTTGGTGCATTGTCACCTTCGTCGACGAGAGAACTGATGCAAAGTCTTTCGAATGCATCTTTACAATCAGCGGGTGCCAGAGCAACCGTTGCCGCCATAGCTCGACCCCGATCAGAGTCTACCGCAACCATCCGAGTGTCAAGCAGTAAACCCGCGGCGTCCACGGCTTGGCAACTTGCCAATCCACTAGCTTCGTAAAGTTGGTACATCTCTGAGTGACTCAGAGTGGGTTCGATCGGAATTCTTGCAGCCATGTCAGTTGCAGCCTTGACGTAACGGAAAAGAGTGTCCGCAGCTTGCTCCGAAACAGTAAGAGAAGTCAAGGTATCATTTTCCGCCTCGATCAAGTTGTGGGATAAATCAGACGGCTCGAAGTTTAAATACAAAATCTCATCGCTGTCCCTTCTGACTAATTGAGAAATTTTCTCCACCTGGCCCCACTTTGCGGGATTGGAACACTCCACTGCCAGAGTCACACAACCGTTCTGAGTTGTTGTCGACCGGACCATTACAACCCGGGAAAAACGATTGCCTATCATGATGAGACCAAGACGAGTGGCGCACTGCTCGTTTGCGGAGAGCATATAAGCATAAAGCTGAGCCAGGGCTTTGAGGGCAGAGTTGGTCTTGTATTCTATGATTAGCACGATCGCCATCCACCTTGTTTCCCAGAGTTGATCTTGAGTACGGCGAATCTTCATCATAGTTTCTGCAGTACGACGGATCCCGGTACCACTGCTGGTGGTAGGAACTGCCCTTTCGGTGGCAGCTGCTTGGTCATCAGCCGGCCGCTTGAAACGGACTGGTTCGGCCCTGGAACAAAACAGGATCATATCCGGGTTTTCGATAGCATGGAAATCTGCAACGAGTTAGCTGATCCCTCCCGCCTCTACACACACAGCGCATCCTGAACCAACACTCTGTCTAACTCACGAGAGCTCCTATGCATCCTGTCGGTGGCCCGTACCAACTTTGTGGCAAAGAAATCTTCACCACCCGGGATGTACGCAAACGCAAGAGAACATTCGGCTTTCCATCCCCAAAACGGCTTCAGCGTGTTCCGCCTAAACGTAGGGCCAGTGATGAGTAACAGAGCTTGGTCTACGTTGTTCCTCCAGTCCGTTTCCTTGACTCGAGTCAACATGGCGGTTTCCAGGTATAATCCGAACGTTCTACGCATGTGCGGGGTTGGTACAGGTGGTGGGTCCATATGACCATATGTCCCTGCCGCGAATGGCACGAAGCGTCCACTCGTAGTATTACTTTGGACGGGGGCGGGGGTTTCGAGTAGTAGGTCTTCGGACGATGAGGCGGACATGTTGAATGATGACTAGCTTGTGGTGAATGAGTGGGTGGTGTGTTTTTCTAGAAGTAAGTAGGCAATGACTATGACTATCACAAGTAAGTACTAGTAGTGACTCGATCCGGCGTTCATTGCTTACGTTCTTCGTGTCATTTAGTCATTAGTACTAACTCTAGTCGTAAGTAAGTATTGTACGTAGCCTTGACTTATTTCATTGGATGGGATATGCTCTCCCTTCAACGTCATCTCCTCTACATCCTACTCGACTCCAACCTACCTACAGGCGGTTTCGTCTCTTCATCCGGTCTCGAGTCCTATGCCAAACATGGTTTCCTCCCTCTTCGTTCTTACCCCTCGACTCGTTTCCATCAGCGGTCAGATCCCGCTCAACCACCACCCCATCCAGTGCCGCCCTCGGCGAAGCGAAGCACAGCCGACAACGTGATCCATTTCGTGGAATCGGAAATGGACAATTTCGCAAGTACGACCTGTCCCTTTGTGTGCGATGGCTGGCGTATACTCGACACAGGTGTGCAAGTGCCGCAAGAGACCTTGACATCAGGTCTACATACAAAGGTGCAAGAGATGCTAAGGGAAATCACCACCTTGGATCGATACCACGAATCGACCTTGTTATCCGTCGTCGGGAGAAGAGCTTCGAAAGCACAAGGAGTGGCTTTGCTCACTTTATTCACAAGGTCGTTATGCTCAATAACAGATGATGTGTCTGCGGGGTCGAGTGAACATATCAGTGGTGAGGATGGATGGCAGGGAGGGGATCATGCCGCGAAGGATGAGCAGTCCACCGAGCTTGAAGATGACCGTGAGGAGCGACGACGAAATGGCGAATTATTATCAAGGTTGGTGGTGGAAGAGTACAAACGTTCCATCCGACGTTGCACGACCCCTGGACATTTGGCAGTGTGTTGGGGAGTCATCATGTCGGCTTTAGGGTTGGATCTTGGTGAGTAGACCGACCTGTTCCCCCTCTCCCTCCCCACTCCGGATGACCCTCCATTGTAGTGATAGATGTCTACCCAAGTGATCATGCTGACCAGCAGGCACTTCACTCCACCTTTATCTCTTCCTACACTGCCGCTCCGTCCTATCTTCAGCCGTCAGGCTCAACCTAGTGGGACCTTATGCTTCCACTCGCCTGTTGTTATTGCTGCAGGGGGCGATCGACCGATGCGTGGTTTCCACCTTGAACTCGACCACGACGTCGCCTGTCAACGACATGATTCATGACAACGCTGTGAGCGGTGAGAGGGATAAAGGAGATGTGGGGATCAATTCTGGATGGCAAGGATGGGATTGGACCAGGAAAGCAGAGACTGCCCCGTCCACGACATGGCCGTTGGGTGAGATACTCTTGGCCCGACATGACATGCAACATTCACGCATCTTCAACAGCTAGGGTAACGTTCCGTCACGGCTTGACATCTTGTAGACATGTGTGATGATGAAGGATACTCGGCAATGCTGAATAAACCTGTAGATATCAAGCACATGCATAGGTCTCAAGATTTTCGTTGTGTAATGCAAAAGAAAATGTGTGCATAGAGAGACGATCTCAAGCGCCGAGGACGAGGGTGAGAAGAGCCATACGGACCTGACCGTCAGCCAAGGAGCTCTCTCACCTTTGACGATACACTTGGCGGGGTGAAATCACTCACAAACAAGCCATATCTCATCTGCCGGAAATACGCTGCTCGTCGACTGTCAAAGTCCACCTCTGGGTCAATCTCGTTGACCCTGGGCAAAGGGTGCATCACGATCGCGCTGTCCTTGGCTTTGGCCAACACGTCGTTGTTGATCACGTACAGATCTTTGACGCTTTCGTATTCGGCAACAGAGTCGAACCTCTCCTTCTGCACCCGAGTGGCGTACAGCACGTCCGACTTGGAGATGACATCGTCCAGAGAGTGATACTCTGACCAGCGAACGTTGGCTCTCGTAGCTTCCGCCTTGACGTAATCGGGCATGGCGAGAGACGGTGGAGAGACAAAGTTGAGAGTGACGTCGTAGAGGGAGAGAAGGCGGACGAGCGAGTGGACTGTACGGCCATTCTTCAAATCTCCAACTGGTAGTCAGCTACTGTTCTCCCTTCAGACGATCCGCAATGACGAGTGAGGTCTTCAGAGGAGATGAGAGGCAGGGTACTCACTCAGCGTCACAGTAATCCCGTTCACACTACCCAATTCTTCCCGTATGCAAAACACGTCCAACAGACTCTGCGTCGGATGTTCCCCTATCCCATCACCCGCATTGATGATCGGGACAGGACTGCTCTTGGCCGCCGCCTTGCTCGATCCCACAGCCGGATGTCTCAACACTATCGCATCGCTGTAACATCCAACCGTCCGGATCGTATCCGCCAGACTCTCACCCTTTTGCACCGAACTCGTGTTGGCCGTCACCTGCACCACTTCCCCACCACACCTTTTCATGGCTGCTTCGAAACTCGTCGATGTCCTGGTGGAAGGTTCATAAAAGAGAGTGCATAACACTCTGCCCCGCAGGGTATCGACTGTTCCTGTCCGCTCGACCTGAGTTCGCATCTCTGAAGCCAAGTTGAAAAGAGCATGAAGGTCATCCCTCGAGAACTGCTTGACAGAAAGGATATGTCGTCGTGAGAAAGCCGGATGGTGTTGCAATGAAGAAAGAGTGCGAACGGGTGAGATGTCACGCATGGGTGCGATGGATGAGAGTGACATGAGCGCTTCGTTGGCTAGTCCAGGTCGACTGGAATGACCCTGGGCCGAAGGAGGACGTTCAGAGATGGGCGACATGAGACCACCGAGATTGGGTCTGGTAGGTAAGACGAATGAAGCTCGCTTGGCTGTGGGACCAGCGCGAGGACCGGTGAGAGAGACATCGCGACCGAGGGGCATTGAGAAAGTCATACCGTCCAAAAACACGGAATGGTTGTTGATCACCACCCTGTGAACAGCGCCAGATACCGCTTTGCCTTCGAGAGGAGACCATATCGCATCTTGGAGGGAGAACACTGAAGATCGATTGACTTCAACTTCAACGTAGGTTTGGGGCTGTACGTTGAGACCGAAGATGGCACGAGGATTCTCTCCTAATCTGGCAGTGATATCTTCCAGACTTAATCGTCCCTGTGCCACGGCACTCAGCAGAAGTGGGAGAGATTCTTCGACACCAGACTTGGCCGACACAGTGTGTCCAAGAGCGACACCGAGTTCGTAAGGCAGAACACCGACCGAAAAGGCGTCAATCACGGAAAGGCTGGCCCATAACGCCGCCTGATCGTCCACTGTGGGAAGGCACGTCGCCGTTGCATAGTCAGCCTGAGAGTAGAACAGAGCGTAGATGGAGACATCGCATGTGACAGCGAGTCCTTTGCCCTTGGCCAATCCGATAAGCGATATGTCGTCTCTGGTGGATACACCGGTGATGTGGATGCTACGGTTGTTGAGACTGGCGAGGAGTAATATCGAAGCCAAGTCGGTTTGTCGCGCGTCGGTGATGATGGGTCTATCGGCCGGCCAGGCGGCGAAATGCTGAGCAACGGATGTCACTTTGTTCCTGGCACCGTAAAAGTTGTTGAATGGGATGAACAGGGCTTTCGCTCCTGCAGCGATGGCGTCGGGAAGTCGTGAAACATTGTCGGCGGTAGCAGCGACGGAAAAGAAGTAGTCGCAATGAGCAGAGCCGGAAGCATTGCTCTGAGCTCGTTGAAGTGATATCTCATCTTCGACCGCAGAAGACATGCCCTGAGGAATCATCTGGAGAACGGTGAAACCTCCTCTGATGGCCGCTTGAGTCGCTTGACCAAAGTCATTCGAGCCCGATTCGGCAGCACCAGGGACGAATGCGCCGACGGATACTAGACCAGGGAAGGTGTACGTCTGATGAGAAGTTTTATAATCGACCGAGGTGATGTCAAAGGTGGGCTTGCGAATGATGGCTTCGATGAACAGTTTGGCACATTTCACGTTGGTGATGAGGGGAACGGCAAAGTCAACAGCCATCCGTCGCGAACGATACCCTTTTGAGATGTATGATGATGGTCGTCGGAATCGGTTCTTGGAAGGTAGGTTGATGTACAGGTCGATCAGGTTATTGGCAAGATGTTGCGTGAGAGAGTATTCCGCTTTTTGAGGATTGAGTTCGTCTTGCTCCCCCAAAGCCTCCAGATACTTGACAGGGATACCATGTTCTTGGAAGAAATCTGACGTTCCAGCGGTGGCGAAAAGGTTGTAACCCATACGATGCAGCTTGAGGACCGAGGGAAGCATTTCGAGTTTCTCCTTGAAGGAACCGATAGATAGGAGAATGTTCTTCTTTGGCGGCCGGATACCCGTAGAGATGAGAGCTTTCAGATACGCATCGTACCTATCTTTGCCGAAACACGCGACCTCTCCAGTCGACGCCATTTCCACCCCGAGGATGGGGTCTGCTCCAGACAACCGACTGAAGGAGAACTGAGGGACTTTGACTCCGACATAATTCGGAGGCATCTTGACGTCGGGATAAGGTGTGACAGGGAAATCCAGCATGACCTTGGTGGCGAGCTCGATGGCGTCCACTCCGGTGACTTTGGAGACGAAAGGGAACGACCGAGCGGCTCGGAGGTTACACTCGATGACCTTGATCTCGTTGTTTTTGGCGATGAACTGTATGTTGAACGGACCAGTGACATTGAGAGCTTGGCCTATCTTCTGCGTCGCAATCTCGATCTTCCGAATGGTCTCCGGGTCAAGGTCCTGTGGAGGAAGAATGAGGGTCGCGTCGCCAGAGTGCACACCAGCGTTCTCCACATGCTCCGAAATGTAGTGCATGACCATTTTCCCATCTCGAGCCACAGCATCCATCTCGATTTCCTTGGCCTCCTCGATGTACTTTGAAATGACGACGGGATGGTCGCGTGAGACGTCTGCCGCTTGCGACAGATAGGTAACCAAGTCATCTTGCGAAAAGACGACATTCATCGCTGCTCCAGACAGGACGTAGGATGGTCGGACCAACACAGGATACGATACTCTGTCGCAGAAAATCTTGGCCTCTTCAAAGCTGGTGAGCTCTTTCCAGAGGGGCTGATCGACGCCAATCTTGTCCAACATACGTGAGAATTTGTATCGATTCTCGGCGGTATCAATCATTTCTGGGGATGTGCCGTAGATCTTTACGTTTTGTCTGTGAAGGGCGAGTGCGATGTTGTTGGGCGTTTGACCACCCATCGAAAGCACGACTCCGCTGGATCTCTCCAGATCATAGATGTCAAGCACCGTTTCCAGACTGATGTTCTCAAAGTATAACTTGTCCGCCTCGTCGTAATCAGTCGACACGGTCTCGGGGTTGTAGTTGATCATGACCGTTTTGAGCCCGTTTTCTCGCAAGGTACGGATTGCTCTCACAGCACACCAATCAAACTCGACTGAAGATCCGATACGGTAAACCCCAGAACCCAGGACCATGACCCCGTTATCAGAAAAGGTGACATCGTGTTCGCTGGCATTGTAAGTGGTGTAGAGATAATTGGTGAACGCGGGAAACTCGGCGGCGACAGTATCAATCTGCTTGACAAACGGTGTGATACCCGCTTCCATACGCAATCGTCTAACAGCCAGCTCATTCGAATTGACAGCCCTGGCTATTTGGCGATCAGAAAAGCCTATCTGCTTGGCGTTCCGTATGAGCTCAATGGGGACAGTGGAGGCGCTGAATCTGGACATAATCTTTTCCGTCTTGACCAATCGCTCGAGCCGGGTGAGGAACCATTTGTCGATGTTTGACATTTGATTGACCTTGTCGACGGAATAGCCACGCTTGAAAGCGGTCGCGATGGCGAACAATCGTTTATCGGTGGGATTCTTAATCTCATAATCGACATCTTCAATCGCTATATGCTCGCCAAATCCAGGAAACTGATCGTCGATGCAGCGGATAGCTTTCTGAATGGTTTCTTCGAAAGAACGTCCGATGGCCATGACTTCACCGACCGATTTCATGCTACTACTAAGGGCAGTACTGACTCGACTAAACTTTTTTAGATCCCAACGAGGTATTTTGACGACGCAGTAGTCGAGGGAAGGCTCAAAGCACGCCGAAGTCAGCTTTGTGACCGAGTTTCGGATCTCATTGAGGGGGATGTTGAGACCGAGTTTGGCAGCGATGAAGGCGAGTGGATAACCGGTCGCTTTGGAGGCAAGAGCCGAAGAACGTGACAGACGAGCGTTCACTTCGATGATGCAGTATTCCTTGGAATATGGGTTCAAGGCATATTGAATGTTGCACTCTCCTACGACGCCGAGATGACGAATGACGTTGACAGCGGTCGTTCGGAGCATGTTGTAGTCTGCGTCGGACAGGGTTTGCGAAGGCGCAACGACGATAGAATCACCAGTGTGAATACCCAATGGGTCAAAGTTCTGCATGTCAGGGACTGCGATCGTATAAAGAGTGCCAGCGCAAACATGCAGAGCAGGTGAAAGAAACATTTGAGATCGCGACGTACCTCCATGTTACAAACAGTGATGCAGTTGTTCCTGCAGTCTCGAACCACCTCGTATTCAATCTCCTTCCACCCTTTCATGCTCTTCTCCACCAGCACTTGAGGACTGGTAGCGAAAGCTTTTCCACACAATTCGGCCAATTGTTCTCCGTCTTGTGCGAAACCACTTCCCAGCCCTCCAAGCGCATAAGCCGCTCGCACGATGACAGGGAATCCAATCTTCGTGGCCGCGGCAAGGGCCTCCGTGTAGTTTGTGGCCGTGGCCGACTCTGCACACTTCTCCCCGATTTCCTCCATTGCCCTCGCAAACATTTCCCTATCCTCTGTGGTGATGATGGTCTCGATGGGTGTTCCCAGCACTTTGACGCCGAGTTTGGCAAAGTCGTCCTTGAGCTTGATACCGACGTTGAGTGCGGTCTGACCCCCAAAAGTGCAGTATATACCGTCGGGCTTTTCATGCTTGATGATTTTGAGTACAAAATCGGGTGTGACTGGGAGAAAGTAGACCTTGTCGGCGAGCCCTTTGGAGGTTTGGATGGTGGCAATGTTGGGATTGACGAGAATGGTGTAGATGCCTTCTTCTTTGAGAGCTTTGATGGCTTGCGAACCGGAATAATCAAACTCTCCAGCTTGACCTATTGAAAGACCTCCCGAGCCGAGAACGAGGACCTTTTTGACCTGTTCACGAGGTGTGGCTGCTACATTCGCTGCGATATCCCCGCCGGGCATGCTTATAGGTACGAGTTTACCTTCCCGAGCGCGATCCACCATGCTTTGAATGAACACATCGAACAGAAACTCGGTATCCCTAGGCCCTGGGGCAGATTCTGGGTGGAACTGAACAGAGAAGAAAGGTTTCCCGTCTTTACCCATCCAGATACCCTCGTTGCTCGAATCATTCGCATTCGTAAATAGAGGTTCCCAGCCATTTCTGAGTGTGGACACATCGACCTCGTAACCGTGATTCTGAGAGGTGATGTAGCATCTTCCGGAAGTAGCGCACGTGCATGGCAAGTTCATCCCTCGGTTGCCGTACTTCATCTTGCGAGTGGCTGCACCGGACGCTAGGGCGAGGAGTTGGTGCCCCAGACAGATACCAAAGATTGGCACTTTGGCCGATTCGATTGCCTTGGAAAGGTGTGCGATTGTCTCTCGAACCACGGAGGGGTCGCCGGGACCGTTGGAGACGAACAGTCCGTCGTAAGGTTCAGATTCCGAATTGAAATCGTAGTCCCAGGGTACCACTTTTACTTCTACTCCGCGATTCCGGAAACATCTGATTTGGTTCCATTTCATACCCACATCCACCGCCACAACTCGTAACTGTTTGCCCGTCTTGGGATGCAGAACTTTGGCCGAGCCAGTGGCCGACGAGTAGAGAGTAGGCTGCCGAGTGGACACGTTGGCGACGAGGTTGATATTATTGGGATCGAAGAAGGGTACCAATTCGAAGTGTTCCCTCCACTGTGAAGTGTCCGACCGACCGTCACTGGACATTGAACGGTACAACGAGGTGGCAGGAGAGAGTCCGTTGAGAAGCCGTGAGACGCCTCCGAGTACCCCAGGCTGAGCATCTCGTCCACGATCACCGCCGTCGGATGGCTGTTGTCGAGCAAGAACGCGTCCGAGAAGAACACCACCTTCTCGAATGCGCTTGGTGAGCATACGGGTGTCCACACCCCAGATGGCAGGGATGCCTTGTTCTTTGAGCCACGTGCCGAGACTCGAGGCGGCGAGATGGTGCGAATAGCTCGGGTGGTAGTTGCCCACGACGAGAGCTGCCACATGAATGTGGGAAGATTCGAATTCCAGGGGGAGAGTGTCAAGGAGGTGAGTAGGCGGAGGGACGTTGCGTGCATCTTGGGACGGGGGAGTGGACGCTGGACGATCTGGAACGCCATAGTTGCCGATGAGAGGGTAGGTGAGGATGAGGATTTGAGCAGAGTAAGAAGGGTCTGTGAGTGATTCGGGGTAACCGACCATCCCTGAAGTGTCAGGACGGGCGATCTGTATTGGGACCGATCAAGAGCTGAGGGTGGGATGGTGATAGGTGCCGATCAAAAGTAGGGACGATCAGGGAGGTGGTGGTAGAGATGAGCACTACTCGCCTGTTTGAAAGACACACTCTCCAGCTACACTTTTCTTGGCTCCGAAAGAGTGACCTGACAAGGCGAGACCATCTGCGAGTTCCAACACCATGTCAGCTTCTCCCATCGACTCTTCCCATTCCACATTTGAACCTTGCTCCTGTTCTTCAACATTTGCCCCTCCATCATCTGACCTGCCCTCTAGATCTGCATCGAGGCCGCGGCCGGTGGCAGGGGGATATAGTGAGCCGGGCGGACGAACGCTCATGCGAGTCATGGTGATCGGAACGATAGAAGGGCGTGATGGTCGATTGGGCGAGGTGGGGGGAGTCGAGTCGGATATGACGACTGAATGAGCGGCGGGTGCTGGAGTGGGAACGTTGGAAGCGGGAGAGGTCGGGAGAGGTGGAATGGGGTTGCCGAAGGGGGCCATGGTGAGAGGGTGCAGTGGGGCTGTTGGCTGTGAGCTGTGAGCTGTAACGGAGGGACATGGGGGGAGGACTGACTGACAGTAGAGTATCAGGTGACGATGACGAGGTGCGAGTACAGAGTATGGTAGTAAAGTGTATGTACCTATAGCATGATGAGGAGAGAGAAGGAAGGAAGAAAGAGAGGGAGAGGTGTGGAGAGGAGGGATGACGAGCTTGAGAAATTTAATTTATTAAAAACGCGACATGTTTTTCACACATTTTATCCCACGCGACCTTTACTATGTATGCTTACGTAATCCAGGACTCACTCTCGCTTCTACTACTACTACTACTACTACTACTACTACTACTACTACCACTACTACCCCCACCACTACTATCAAGTCAGGTAGTCGGACAGGGACGGTGCATGTACAACATGGGTTCACAGTAATATCATTGTATGTCATTATCATGGGTCATTCACCAAAATCTCCTCCATATCTCTCGTCCCACTCTCTTCCTCTCCGCTGCGGCTCCCCTCTCCCCGTTCAACAAACTCTTGTTCTCTATCGCCCTCCGTCCGAGGAACGGCATCACCTCCGACAACTTACCATACGCCATGTACTTGAGCGCCACCGGTGGGTCACAGCAAGACGAGTGAAAGCTAGCTGCCACCCGGTCAGTCAAGGCATCGCCCATCCCTACTCGTCAGCTACGGCAGGATACGACAAAGTGTCGACTCACCATACAACTGTGCGATGTGCACTTTGCCTCTCACTTCCTCCCTCAAACAAAGTCTGTTGTCTATCCTTCTTGATCCTTCCGAAGTGAGGCTCCGCCTCGCCAGCCCCGCCTTCACCAACTCATCCATGACCCGCTGAACGCTATCCGGGTTATGGGTCCCAAACACGACAGACGGGGCCAGCTCTGGGCGCGGCGATGATAGCTGAGAGGCAAGTGTAGACAGAATGGTAGAGATGGAAGAGTCGTAACATCGATCTGTAGCTTCTTTGCTGAGGCGTTAGCCCATCACATTGGCACAACTACAATCACCCACTCTGGCCAGATCGGTCCTGGACCCGATCTACCCTCTTGGCTCCATCGCTCCTTCTCACCTTCGTGATAGGCTCCACGGACCAGCTTGATTCCTAGCGCATATCCATTTGCCTGAGCGTGTCCGAGTGCCTCCTTGAGGAAGTGCGGCTGCCTAACGAGGTAGCTTTGATAGGTTCCGCTGCGAGTCAACACATGTAAGTCGTTGCAGAGGTCGAGGGGTGCTACTCACAAAATCAGGGGCCCACTCCATTGCTCGGACGAGGAAGCGGAGGAAGGCCAAATGGATCGTTGGGAGGAAGGTGGCCGATTATACTCTGTGGAGAGTAGTAGCGTGTAGCCATCGAGAGCTGGTTGATACTGGGTGTGCTCGGCGTCGATCATGATACTTATTCTGATAATCAGTCCTTGTCGCCAATTTGATGATGTATACCTTGACGGATGTTTCAAAAGGCAATCATCATATATATACACATACCTCTTCTCACTAGCTTTGAGCGCAATTCGTCGTAGTTTCTCCCACAGGTCTCTCAACTTTTCCACATCCTCGCGTCTGATCCCTTCGTCTGTCTCCAACACGGCCAGGGCTGGCACAGCACCTTGCAAAGTCATAAGGGGGTTCACCGATGTGTCGGCACGAGCCAGTACTTTGACATCGGACAGGGTAGGTGAGCCCGGAAAGGGTATTAAAAGGGAAGCTAAGGGCGATGAAGGAGAGTTGGAGGTCGTCAAAGGTCGTAATCGTAGGAGGGTGGTGGAAGCTCTTTGTAAGATGGCTGGGTCGATGAGACCGGTCTGAGATCAGCGATACCCTGATCACAGATTTGAGAGGAATAGAGTGGATGGGCTGGAGTATACTCACCACCTTTATGGCCAAGGCGGTGGATCCTTTGCCATAGCCCTGTCTCGCCATCTCGTCTTCGTGAGCCCCAGCTTGATCAAGGGACGATAACAGCTCGTTATATCTTTCCTCCTCTATGTTCGACGCTCCCTTGGTAAGAGACGATGAACGATTGGCAGAGTCATCCGAAGCTTCGGCAGAGTAGTTCAGAACTCCCCCGATCCCCCTTGTTCTCATCTCCGCCATCACATCCAGACATTCCTCTGCGGTCTCACCAGAGACGAACTGTCGAAAGAACGTCTCCCTGACCACCGTCTCGGTGAGAGGCTTGATGCCGGGCAATGAGCTGTTGAAAAGAGCCGACAACAGGCGAGGTGAGTGGTCTATCACGCTTGGAAAGGAACAAAGGGTGTAAACGAGGTATGAACGAAGGAGCGATCTGATGGGGGTTTGTCCTAGGCTGTCCCGAGGAGATTGATCCCTGTCGGGCTTGGTCACAGGAGATTCGGCTTGAGCCACAGTGGGATAGGGTAGGAGGTAGGTCGACAAGATACCCACCGTGGTAGCGGTGAGTATGCCGAGGGAACGAGTACTAGTACTGGTACCAGTGCTTGATCGACCATGGTACCGACGTCGAGGAAGAGGGGTAGAGCTGGGGACATGCCTGTAAAGAGGGGGTACGCTCATCTGGACTGACCATACCCGGAAGCCTGTCGAGTATGATGAGGTATACCTATTCAGCTCTAGAGCGTATAGGGTATGTGTGCTACTATTGACAGTAAACTACAGTACGAGTACCATTGCAACCGAGGCATGCAAAGGAAGGGGAAGATCATTCGCCACCCGACCCACGTCACGTGACGTTCCATACGCCGGCGATATCATGCAGCATCCTACTACTGTTACTGCCAAGGAATGTTCCCAGCTTTGCTATATTTATGTCTTGACAGGCTAGCTTCATGCGTACACACACTTACTTGACCTGGAAACTCATATGTCACCCACAAGGGAGAAGCAGGAGCAACGTCATTCATTCATGCCTGTTCTCACTCCACATTCTCGTCGGTCATCTGTCCTACTCGTCTACGTTACGGTACTCCCCGTACGACGCCAATCCCCTCCCGAACAGTCAGGTCCGCTACTGCGAGTTACCATGAACGGGCAGAGAGTAAGCGTACGCATCTGCCGCTACCTTTTTCTCTTCGTCCAGTCCAGTAGAGGTCGCTGTGTTTTCCGTGATCCTCATCGTTTCCGAGTGAGGCTGGTAAACCTCGTATTTGGTCTGTCGTCCATACAGCACGAGCTCGTCACCGGGAAGATATCCGTCCGTCTTGCCGAGCCCTTCGAAAGAATGGTCGTAATCTCCTTCCCTCCCGATGGGAACGATGGAAGGGGGGAAGAAGTACATGCCAACGAGGTAGACTGCCCCACTGATGCCAAAAGATATCAGGAACCCTGAGTTGTAGATCTTGACGAAGGTAGCCATGGAAGACGAGTAGCTGTCCCTAAAATCATCAGCAACTACCTGATGACGTTGTTCGATGTCGCCGACAGTTGAGTCTTGTGACGTGTGCGATGAGCCCTGAATGAACAGCACTACTACAAGATGTATGGAGGAGCAGGTGATTGAAATATGATCACGATCACCCACATATAACTGGCTACCAGGCCAGGAAGGGGAATAGCTATCCCACAGAGCCAAGCAACCAGTGCGATCATGTTGAATCCGAAAGGTTTGTTGTAATAGATACCGTCGTGGTTGGCGTGATTGCCATTCGCGTCGAAAAGGGAGGGGACGTGGATGTTACCCCTGCGAACAATGAAGTAGTCTGCGAGGAGAATGCTACACGACGTCAGCTTCGTTCCCAAAAGAAGTCAGTCTGTTGAAAGAGAGAGCATCGAGGGGTAGTGCGAGATTCGTGATAACAGCACGCAAACATAATCACTCACGCAATCATAGCACCGCAGAAGAAAGTATATGAGTTCAAGAACTTGATGAAGTTTGTCCCGGAGGTGAGAATTGACCAGGGTTGTACGATCCAAGAGAAGATCATGAGAAAGACCTGCGCGCGAACGATATTGCTGAAGTATCAGCCAACTTCACTCTCTCTCTGCTGCAAACGGCAAAAAAGCAGCAAGCACCTACTGCCTCCGTGTGGCAAGAGAGGAATGTTACAATCGAGAAGTGGGAGCAACAAGTAGGACACTCACATCCTAGTTGGCCATAAAGACGCTAGATCGACAGCAGCGGGGATGTTATTCGCAAAGAGGTTTTGTCCGATAGTCGCGTAAATTTGGATGATCGAAAAGATGAAGATACCCGCACGCCACGACGTTGAGACATCATTTTCAAGTATAAGCGAACAGATTGTCCAGATATTCCACGAGTGTACACCCCAGCTGTCAAGTCAGCCTCCCTCTTGAGAATGTCATATTCCGCATGACCAGTCTCATTGTGACTCTGTACAAGAGAGAGGGGCGACGAGTCCAAAGAATAGCTTACACCTGGTAGGAAACAGCACCGGCAGTGAGACCCATCATGGTAACAATGATCATTCCGGCCCATAGACTAATCGCTTGGGGCCACATCGCTGCACCCGGCTTGTTGGCGTAACGTCCCAGATCGGGCTCTGAAAGTCAACGACGCTCCGGTACATGTGAAACCGAAGCAGGAATCGTATAAGGCAGTGGCAAAAGGGGAATAGGGGATTGTGGAGGGGGGGGGGGGGGGGGGGGGGGGGGGGGTTCTACAGGGAACCCCGGGTTGATGAGCATCGGGGCCATGTTTCCAAAACACGCATTGATCCCCAACATCCAAGCCCAGGACTGGGCACTAGAGCCTTTGGCGATTGTCCCGTTCAATGCGGAGAAATTGACCGAGCCCCCAGCGAGGTGGATCAGCCCCCCGAGGAAACCGAACGACACGGCAGGAAGAAGGACAGCCTGAGGTCCATCAACACGACACCATGCACCTGCAGTACTGAACACTTACCTTGATCTCAAAAATGATCTTGATCATACTGGGATGTACGAAAGCAAAGGGTCTGGGCGAGTCAAACAAGAGGTCTCATTTCCGGGACTTCGAGAGAGTTGGCTTACAAGTGGAGGCAAAAGCAGATGAAGAAGCAGACCATTTCTCTGGTTGTGGAGTGAGAGCTAGCCGGCATCTTGTTTGCGATTTTCCCCCATCCGTTGGGTGATACAGCCAACAGACCGATGTCGAGCATCCTGATCATCAGCCAAAGCGTCAAACATGACGATGGGAGAAAATCATTGAAAGGATGAAGAGGTAATGTGCTCACTCGGCGCAGTACCAGTTCATCACGGCAAACCAAATCACTGCCGTTGCCATACGGAGGAAAACGAAGAACTTGGACAAGTGCATACCAAAAGTCGATCTGGCCCACACGGGATATCCGATGTGATACAACGATCCGACACGAGCGCAGCCCACAGCCACGGCGGCGATGAGGATGTAGCCGACGATGGTAGCACCGAGGGTGGTGCCAAACGAAAGACCATAGCTGAGTAGTGAGGACCCTTGAGTCCAGGCGCTGGTGGGATCAGTCTGTGTCCGATGTATGACAGAGGTGGACAAGACACTCACCCAACAGTGTAGTTGGTACCCCACCAAAGAGACACAAAGGTGAGCCAACTCCAAGTACGCATCTGAGGAGGGGTCGGAGCCAAGTCCTCGTTCAACCACATGGTCCTGCTCCCCGGCTCCATGTGGATGAAGGCTGGGGAAGTCAGCATCCTTCTGGCATTCAAGTGCAAGGGGACAGAATGACCGGGGAAGAATGCTCACGCTTGAGCCCTGATACGGGACGAAAGTCATCGGCACCAGCGTCGATGGCAGACTGAGGTTTTTGAAGAAATCCGGTCGACTTGTAAGCATTGACGACACGAGTACGGAGGGTCATCTTGAGATGCTGTCAGTCAAAGTATCTAGTCCCGGTCGATTATGTATTGTTACCACCATGACTGCCTGTCGTGATCACTGTCACGGTCGAGGCCAAAAATGAAAATTGTACCAGCCGCCGGCAACATTTCCGAAAGTCGCGGTCGAAATTTTCAAAAATAGACACGATTTGAGGAATGTCCTCCGAGATGGTTTTTTCTTGGAATTCTGAGCGGACGTAGTCTGCCGGTCGGGTGACCTGGGATAGCTCACGCCCATGTCCGATATCGAGGATTGATGGTGAGATAGGGGGTCACGTCAGAGTAGCGATTGACATGATAATCGGAATGATACACTGTCCAGTCCGGGAAATTAGGGTTGCTGAGCCACGAATAGCTTGACATGGTGATGCTTGGCACGGACTGGTATCAGTGATAGGATAGATCAACACACGGACAGAGGACGGCCAGTAGCGCAGGATAAAGAGCTCGTCGGGGCGAGGTGTGGGAGGTTCGAAGGACGGAAGTCAGTCCCGACGCTATGCAAACATAAATATCTAAGCAGCCAATGAAATCCCCTGCACCTGTTTCTACCCTCGACGACAGGGCCGTCTGGTGACAGATAACGCTAGGCTGGATAGAGAAAAGTCACCACATAGGGAAAGACGAGTAGAGCTGCGGAAGGGGTCAGAGGTCAGCATGTAATTAACTCGGCAAAGAGACAAAGATGAGAAACGAGGTGGAGATGAACACAAGCTTCATATATGTACCCATGCTCACCACTCATCACATCCCCTCCCATCTCGACAGCGACTGATGCGGTCTCGTCCGAGATGCAGTAATCCATGCCAAATAGACTAGACAACATTGCCCGCCCCTGCGGCCGTGCAGACGGCGGCGGCCAGACATGGGAGGCCAAGTGAGCATGTCCACTTTTTGTACTAGGAGGCGGCGGTTCTCCGCAGCAGCAGCAGGTTGAAATTCCCGTGACATCCCATGACAATGCGACCATGTCAACATCACTTTATCTCTCCTTGTCACAACCATCATTTCTTCTCCTCTACTGACCAACGGTTGACAAACCTTGGCTAACTATGTTCTGCTGGGGTGTTGATGTCTCACAGAGACAGGGTACTTGCCGGGGCTTTGACTTGTCATCCTGCACCATACATAATAGCATAAAATCACCACTTATCCTGCTTTCACCATAGCCCACAGGTCATTCAAAACCCTCCGTACCCTTGGTCCACTCCCTTGTAGACCCATGTCCGACAATTTTCCCTCCACTCTTGTCATGTCCGACGACCCCCCAGAAGGGCTCAGTTCTTCCAGCGACCATGTCCCTGAAACCAAACGTCCTTATCAACCGCCTCTCTCTACCACCATGACTTTATCCACTCCTCCAGCCAAGCATGAGACCGTCTCAATAGGTTTCTACACATCGTACTTTATTGCATTACAAGGCCAAATAGACCGTTTACAAGAATCTCAACAATCTCAACATGCTCTCGAGATGTCTGCCACAGAGCAACAACGTACTACTGTGGAACATATGTTGCTAAGCCTCAAAGAGATCGCCAGTAATATGGTAAACATACATGACAATTCAACTCAGGATGTCCAGCATACCAACACACAAGAAGCTCTGTGAGCCTTGGACGATCGCCTTGTGTCACGGGCGGGGTCTTATCCCCAAAGGGTAAGCAAGGTGACTGAGATGGGGCTGTAACCCAATACTTGTCTCGGGCTCGTAGAGCTTGAGGAGTATACAGAGGGTGACAAGGGACTGAGGGAACTGAGGGAACTGAGGGAACTGCAAGATGTCAGGCTGGATCTGACTGGACTGACAAGTTGAGAATGAGATTCAACAAGAGATTCATAGGTGGGGAACAACCTGTTTGGAGGGGGTTTATATCCACAGCAAAACAGGCTGAACTGCAAAACTACAACAATAAGCTACGGAAGAACTGCTAAACATATTTGCAATTCTCTTCAAGAGAATTGGCAATCCTGACATGTGAAACTAAGAACAATAGGCAAAGGACCCAGGGGTCCAGGGGTAACTGTTACAGGTTCATGGGTGCGACAAGGAACAATAGACAGAGGACACAGGAGTCCAGGGGTAAGTGTGTCAAGCATGTGAACACACAGGGGAACAATAGATTAAGAGCACAGGGGTTCAGGGGTAGGTGTTTCAAGTGTGGGAGTGTAAGAGATGACAATAGGGATTGTTGATGGAGATCAAGAACAATAAACCTAAGCCAAAGGGGGTCAGGGGTAAGTGTCCCAGATGTGTTTCAAGTGTGGGAACACGGGAAAAGACTATCTTAGGTGGCAAGTAGGTGATGTATGACACCTTGCCCGCATGGAGCAGGCGCAGCGGGCTGACGAGACCGACAAAATTTTGAAACAATTAACGGAAGGTCTGAAGTTTATACATGGGAGTATTGAAAATTTAGAGAGACAACAAGCAGAAGGTATCAAGTCTGTTAACCAGAGGCTCGAATCCATTGTTTCTAGACTCGACTGTTTAGGTCGTATGTCCCCTTCTTTCACCTTGCCAATGGTCGAGTCACCCCCATCGGTTTCGAAAATGACTTACCGGCACCGACGGCAGAAGGAACTGAGCTCTATACCTTCTTCGTCTAGAATTATAGCCTGGCCGCCTCCTCGCCAACAAGGAGTTGCGAATTCAACCACTTTCACCCCATCTCCACTGAGTCTGTCCACATAGGTTCATCGTGACGAGATCGTCGCTGCTTCGCCCGCCGTATCCACCACTGAAGCTGAGCTAGCGACCAACGATCAACATGAAGCAGGTGGTCCGGCCGTTGATCATAGCGGACATCTGGACATGGACATGACACAGGATCTGATAGTACATTCCTCTGTCCCACCATCCACAGGCCAGGATGTGTTTCGACGTCACGGTACAGAAGAGAGCGGTACAGATGATATCGGAATGAACATTGGACTAGATATTGGTGGAGTAGAAGACGGAGGAATGGACGATGTCAAAGAGATGATGAGGAGTGTGTCAAGGTAAGTCCTCAATCCTCCTTGCTCATCACTTTGTCCCTGTTATAAATAACTGGCTGACTCTGAAGATCCTCAGAAGGGACCCCATCGGGAGACTCACCAGAAACCGTCAGACGACAATCATCCCGACCACGAAGTCGTACGGTAGATTATCACAGCCATCCTCTCGACGGGAAGAAGCTGTCTGTAACTTCTCCCAAGAAAAAGAAAGGCAAGAGGGAGCCTGGGCAGCGATCGAGAGCTTTCAAAGGGAGAGTGTGGCTAAACAATAAGTGTTTGAGTGCTAGTGATGTGGAAAAGAGAGGAGAAGGAGTATGGCCGGCGAAAAGTGAGAATACCGTGAAAGGAAAGATGGTGAGTGCAAATCCAACCAACAGCAAGAATTCAACCTCCTCCAGCCCGGAAAAAGAATCTCGGCGTTCGTGTAGAGATATGCTGACGTTTCTTAGCAAGAAGTGGTATGCAATGCTTGTAAAGGTTGAGTACATTGGGCATGTGCAGGACTACAACCAGAAGATGACATGTCAGAACAAACCTGGAATTGTCCTGACTGCAAACTAGCAATCAAAAAGGGGACCTCAAGAAGAGAGATAGAAGTTGCTCTACAGGACTGATGTATCCGATTCAACTGTATCCTCAGGTATGTCCCAGTGGAAATCTCATGGTAGTGGCTCATGCAATAGAGACAAGAAAGCTACAGTTAGAGAAGACGGTGACGATAAACAATACGTCATTGAGAAGATTATCGGGTGAGTGTTGAATTTCCACAAGACATGTTAGGTACAAATACTGAAAACATGAAAGACGGAAAGCGATAGCGAGGAATCAAGAGGATAAATGTCACGAACCATGTCGTGACATCCCTGACAACTACCATCACCGACCCTCCTTTCACCATCACCGAACCACTATCCACCACCACCCCGAACCACTGAGACCAACTACGACGAAGTTACGAGAACCTAGGGATTATTTGTCACGACAACCCCGCCTAACGGAGAACCACAGCGAAGTTAGGGAAGGAAACCGAGGGGGAGTGGAGTAGGGGAAGTTAGGCAAAGTTAGTCGGAGTAGGATATCGGGGATATGACGAGGTAAGGCGAAGTTGAACGAAGAGGACTGAGCGCGAGGCTGTACAGGGGTTGAGGGACGTTCTATGAAAAGAGAGGGGAAGTATAGATAGTTTACAGATCGCTGAACTTCTTCAGCAATCCTTGATTGTTGTCAGTAGCAAGAGATATATTCAGTAGCTACAACCATCGAGTTAGGGAGAGCTACCACCGAGCAGTTCAACGCACTACGGCGAAGTTAGCCGCAGTTCATCGACGATCACCTTATCACCTACCACTCGACGTATTACTACGGCGAAGTTAGCCGTAGTTCCTCGACAAGTACCCTGTCCTAGTGAGACATCGACACCCCAGTACGACGTAGTTAGCCGAGGTTTGTCGACCGTCGGTCAGTAGAGAAGAAGAAACTACGATTGTGACAGTATCAAGGATCGCTCTTACCGACGACCCGTGCAAACCTCGGAGAAGTTCGAAATTGTATGCAGCCAGTGGGGAGAGTTACAAGAAGTATGAGTAGACCAGAAGAAACGGTAGAGGAGACGGAGAGGAGGACGTTGGAGGAATTAAGACAAAGCTTGGGGCCATTGCCTGGTGCCATTGATACCCCCAAAGGATCAACTCAAGGCGATGATTTCTATCCACCCCTACCTCTTGAACCACCCCCCCAACCGACCAGACTATCAGAGCCACCAACGGTGAGGACAGGTTCCGAAGATTCGGGACAGACTCCACGACCAAGGGAAGGGAACACAGGAGGTAGGCTAAGTTCGGCCGGGAGTGAAGTAGTAGGAGGCACTGAGGAGGAGGCCACAACTCAGAAGATCATGCTGGCGATAATGAACATGATGATGGAGATGGATAAAGATATGATAGCAGAGAGGAAACATCGAGAGGAGCAGGAGAAGAAGAAGGAACAGGGGACAGTTGGGGGAATAGTCAAGGGGATCTCTGAAGGGGTACGACTCGCCATGGGAAGACAGGCTTCGGCGACCCCAGGGGTTGCTGAGATGAGTGGAGGGATAAAGCTTCCCCTCCCAGACCTGTGGAGGGGCGAGAGATCAAAGTTCACCGCATTCATCTCAGAATGTGAAGTTCATTTCGAAATCAACGCTCGCAAGTTCCCCACTGACCGAGTTAAAAGTCTTTTTCATGATCTCCCATTTGCGTGAAACTCCTCTTCTTGCCGTCCAACCGGACTTGCCTAAAGACGAACCCCCCGAACACCTTCTAGACTATAAGAAGTTCATCCAATATCTCAAAACCAATTTTGGAGACCCTGACGAAGAAGGAACCGCCGCAAGGGGAATAAACAAGCTTCGACAGAATGGGTCGGCTTCGGCGTACTTCGCCGCCTTTCAACAATATGTAGCAGTGTTAGGATGGGGTGATGATGGAAACCTCGTGGATCGGGCGAATAATGGACTAAAAGGTCACTTGCTGCATGAAATCGCTCGCCATGGAAAGGTTTTCAAGACCGTCCGAGAGTTAATTGAGTTTGTGGTCCCCATGGACAATCATTTGCATCAGCAAAGGGTGGAGAAGGAGAATGAGAAGAAGAGGAAGGAAGTGAAAGAACAGGGGGAGAGGAGAGAGGAAGTAAATCGGGAAGAGGAAAGGAAGAGCGAGGAGAAAGGGCAATCTATGGCGAAGTTCAGGGGCTCGCAACCTAAGGCCACGAACGGGGGGAGGGCAATTCCAACGGACGTAGACGAGCTAAATCGTCGTTGGCCAAGACCCAGTGCTGATGAGGTGTTAAAGCGTCGGGAGGAAGGGCAGTGTACTGGATGTGGAGAGAGGGGACATTACAACCGGGATTGTCCTGTAATAGCAGCAAAGGTAAAGGCTGGGATCATTCCCTTGCGATCTTTTGGACAGAATGCTGGAGGAGAAGGCAGATTTAGCACAGGTGGAAATGCCGTCCCTCTTGGAGATAGGAAGAAGATCAATGCAGTCGGAGGGGAGGAAGCATGCTTTACAGAGCGGGGGATGGACGGGGAGGAAAAAGATGGGGACTCGTCGCGATAGGCGAGACTCGGCGGGTCCGTGCTCATATTCTCTCGGCCCAAATCTAACGTGTATGTCGAAGGAATCGAACTAACGGCCCTGTGGGACACTGGGGCAACCTGTTCATATATAAGTCCCAAGGCGGCCAGGAGGATTAGGAAGGAGAAGAGGAAATACCCCGTGAGTGTACCAGTTCACATGTTCGACGGCTCGGGTAGTGTGGCTGGACCCATTACGGAGTTCGTCAAAGTGAGTCTGGGTGTCGAGAAGTTAGGCGAAGTTTGCCCAATAAAGCTGGATGTTACCACCCTTTGTGACACGGATGTTGTGATAGGGTGGGAATGGATGAGAGAAGAACGGGTAATCCTGAATGGGGGAGCAAATACTATATCCTTCCCTATTTCCCAGACAAATGAGGGGGAAAGCGCAATGTCTTTTCCCCTACCCATGCCGATTGAAAGGGAAGAATTGTCCTCTCCCTTTCCACAAACAAAAGATGTCGCGAGCCTGGCAGCCATAGGGCTCAGGACCCGAACCGACGAGACAGACCTCCGCGGCGAAGATGAGCTTGAAGAGCTGAGCCCGGAGGAACAAGACGAGTTGTTCCAGGTAGTTCCCGAACAATACCACCAGTACATTGACGTGTTTAACCCAAAGAGAGGAGGAGAGACTCTTCCCCCTTTGAGGTCCTACGATTTGAAGTTTGAGCTCAAGGAGGGGGCGAACCTGAAGGTCGCCTCCCTCTATGCTCAAGGAGAAGATCAGAGACGCGCGCTGAGAGACATACTAGATCGTGAAATTGCCGCTGGCCGAATTCGAGCAAGTAACCCGCCGTACGGCTCACCGATGTTTATGATACCGAAGAAAGCCAAAGGGCAATGGCGAATGGTCATCGACTATCGAAAGCTGAACGAAGCGACCATACCAGATGCCTACCCTCTTCCGTTAATTGGTCAGATTACCGAAGAACTTGGGAAAGCAAGATACTTCAGCAAACTGGACCTAATTGGAGCGTACCAATTGTTGAGGGTGACGAAAGGACATGAACACCTGACTGCGTTCAGGACACAGTATGGTATGTTCGAGTCTCTTGTCGTTCCAGATGGGCTGCGAAATGCCCCCGCTGTCTTCCAGCACTTCCTGAATGAGGTGTTTAGGGAACTACTAGGGAATGGAGTCGTGGTCTACATTGATGATATCCTTATTTATGGGAATACATTGGAGGAATTACGAGAAACTACGGCGAAGGTCTTTGAAGTGCTGTGAAAGGCGAGCCTGTACGTGAAAGCTAGTAAGTGCGAGTTTGAAAGAGATTCGGTGGTGTTTCTGGGTTTCGTGGTATCTTCTCGAGGTGTATCGGTGAATCCAGAGTACATTGACGCCATCACATCCTTCCCACGTCCAAAGAATCTACGGGAGTCTAGAGGATTCATTGGAGTCGTCAGCTATTATAGGCGTTTCGTCCCCAACTTCTCGAAAATTGCTCTACCAATCACCTACCTGACGAAGAAAGATGTACCATTTGTGTGGGGAGCGGAACAGGAGTCAGCATTCAAGGAATTGAAAGCTAGGATGTGTACTGCGCCGGTGTTAGATCACTTTGACCCTACTTTAAAGACTATATTACAGACAGATGCCTCGTTCTTCGGCTGGGGTTTCATAATTTTGCAGGTCAATACAGCTGGTCAAGAACACCCGGTAGCTATCGAGTCTGGCGCCTTCAACACAGCTCAGCTGAATTATACGGTAGGAGAGAAGGAGTTCCTCGCTGTAGTGGAGGGTTTTAGAAGAAGGAGACACTTACTACTGCAGGTAGAAACCACAGTCCTTACCGACCATTCAAACCTCACCTACTGGATGGAACCGAAGCAACTCAGTCCACGCCAAGGTAGGTGGGTAGAAGAACTAGCTAACTTCAGGTTTAAAATGGTTTACCGACCAGGAACACAGGCAAGTCTTCCAGATGGACTGTCTAGACGGGCGGACTACCACTCCGGAAAGGGAAGTACCATGATACAAGAGAGTAACCTCATTAAAGGTCTACCGAAGTTCGATGAAGTTGACGCCACCACATCGGAGTTACATCACCTGCTCAGAGCATTGCAAGGAACAAGAGAAGTGAAAGAGAGTGACCTTGTTGATCCTATGGATTTGATACTTGGAATTCAGGAGGACAAAGACTTAGAGAAGGTTAGAGAGGAATTATTAGGAGTTATCAATCACCAAACTACGCCGTAGTTCGCGATCTCCCCTAATACTTCGTGGTGGATGGACCTCAAGGGGTTTCCTCATGCTCGACGATCACACTTATGTGCCGAACTACGCCGACGCTCAACTAAAGATCATGAAGATGAGACACGACTCGGCCTTAGCTGGTCACCCAGGTCCGGCAAGGGTTATAGGGCCCTGCCCGTTGGGGGTTTTTCGGAAATACTGCTCGGAACATCACATATTCTATACCGTTAGATAGCCCTCAACCAGGAGAGTCAGGGGCAACCTTAACGTTGGCAGGGGGTTGGATTTTGGCAACAGTTTTGGGGACCTGAAGATATAGGTTGGTAAAAATCACTATAAGTGCTGAAAAGTGTTACCGGGTTTGGATTTAGGAGGGGGCTGTTGGCAGAATGCTAAAGAATGGCCTTTTAGCTACGTAACGGTGACCCACATGCCCCAGGGGTATACCTCAGTGCTGAAGCTATGGGTGTTCAAGCATCAGAGGAGGAAGGGAAATACACGCCGCTGGTCAAAGTTGATACCAATATCGAGCGGGGTAGCCGCAACTTTGCACCGTTGCAAAGTTCTGATTTTCAGCTACGGAACGGTATGCATATCATCCTGTGAGGCCTCAGGAAAGGTCACAGGTGGAATATATTGTCCTGGTTGTCTTTGTGTTGTCAAAGAAGAATGAGCACTCTTTGAACAAAAATCCCGAATACCAGATTGAACCATATTTGTTCTCAAAATATCTCTCAATCTTACCGAAAGAACATCAAGACTGTTGAAACCTGGACTGAAACCATATTCCAGATGCATTTTCACTGTTTCAACTACAAACCAGCAACATTGGCTGCACGAATGAGATTTTCGTAATACTTACCACTGAGATAAAGATAAATCACCTTTTCAAAGCTTGAATTGCCTGCCGAAAGCCAGATCGGGTGATCTGAATCATCCCGTTTGAGAATTCTGACATAAACATGGTAGCACATACACAATGAGTGTAAAGCGAGAGCATCTCCCCATGTGCCCTGTTGAGACATGTGTGAAATATACTGATCAATCGACTGGATCGTTGTGTCAATGTCGGCGGCAAGGAAAGATTCAAGATCAGATTGGTGATTTGCCATCCATTTCACTGCTTTCGCCCTTGTGATTGAGGAATCAAGTTGATGTCCACCAACTGCTCTCCCGAAAGCTGTGAACATGCAGTTCCCATCAGCTGGCGTCCATTTTGTGCTGTACCATGCCGGCGAAATGCGGATCCGGTTGAGGTTTGCCACCAAAGGGATGGCAAAAGGGATCCCTTTCCTCCGAGTATAGTTTGTGGACACAACTGGACCAATCCCTGTGTCCGAAAGCCCAACCTGACCTCTTTGAATCCTCCCAATTGTGATGAGATGAGCGATCCACAACATCGCTTCCTCAATTCTCAGATTGTCCTTGCACGAATTCGAGTAGCAGCGGAATCGAAGTGGCTTTTTGGACACAATTTGTTATCAGTGTGACGAATTATTGGGGCCCTTCCGACACCGCATGTAGCCCCCCTCAAAAGCTCCACGAATTGAGGTTAGGAAGGCTGATTTTGATTGATCTGTGGGATACTTCTTGAGTAGCTCCATCATGACATTCGATGGGTTTTCCGGCTCCAATTCCATTTCTGATTCCCTCCACCAGGCTGATTTGTCCAATGATTTAGTGATTCGGCTGCTTCCAGAGTTCCAGCCAAAAGATGCCAAACAATCGAGGGCAGCTCTGACCTGAATGGGGGACGGATTCCCCGAGTCCCTGCCTTGAAATACGTTTTGGGCGAGAGCCTGCTGATAGACCCAATTTGCATTGTCTAGAAGTGCTGATTTGGTGACGATCTTGGCATTGAGCTTGAATCGAGACATTGAATCGCCAGGATTGAGCCAGAACGCTGCCCGTAGAAAAGGTGTCTGCCTGCGATTGCTTCGCTGTGGCAAGTGACTTTGCCTGATGGTGATCTCCATCCGAAAGCTCCAATCTGACTAGACGGTACAGACGAAAGGTCTTGAATCATTTTCAATGTTGTATGACCCTTTCTGTCTGATGGCGTAAACGGTTTTTGGTCTTTCGCCTTGAATATGACTGTTGAAAGCCTTCATGACATGTACGATTCGGGGATATACCTTAATCTGGAAGTTCCGATTTTGGAATTGTGCTTTGAAATGGACCAATCCATAATCGAGGGAGCCTGGAATGCACATCGGGTAGAGTGTGACCCTTTTCGAGGTTCCATTGGCTGGTGAAAAGAGCCAGATGTAGTTCGATGGAATCGTCACACCAATATCCCATTCGTTGTATTTCACAAGAGGATGACTGATTTTGGTGGGCTCTTGAATGTGGAACTGGGAGATGAGAGGTAGTTTCTGGCCATAGGCCTTGAGACGAAGGGTTTCACAACCAGCGATCTTGAGGCCGTGGACGAAAACACTGACTGGAACTTGGGCGTTTCCGAATGCTGCTTGAAATGTGCGTTTCACAGGCTGAATCGAGAGCCATTGTTGAAGTTTGTCAAAGAATGGTTCCTTGAAAGTCGGATCGACCCACAATTGGTGCCAGGATTGAGCTAAAAGCATCCAATCCTGATAATATGGCTCCTCTAATGCACTCCCGCCCCAGAGGTATGGGATAGCTCCCGGAGCATAAGTGCCACCCACGTAGGAAGGTATATTGCAGCAGCCACCATAGCTCCCAGGGTGGCACCTACCATAGCTCCCAGCACTCCGCATAGCCCCCACCACCAACACCAAATCTGCCACCAGAATCTTTTGTCACCCATCACTGCCCCTCCTTGCTACCAACCCGCCTCTTACACTATGATCTTATCAGATAAGAGCCCATCAAAGCACCCAGCAGTACCCCAAGGCTCCCACCAGCACCCCTTAGGTCCCACCTCCACCTTAGCCTACAGCCCCTACCCCTTGACCCCCACCACCCCTCAATCCCCTTCCCTTGAGTCCGGCACATGCCACCCACCCATAGCTCCTTCCTGCACCCCAAGCACCCACCCATAGATCCTTTCCCCCCTCCGTATGACCCACAGCTCCCACCCATAGATCCTTTCACAGCGCCACCCTGACCCAAGGCTCCCACCCTTAGGTCCTTTCCGCCTGGCAAGGCTCCATCCTTACCTCATGCCTAAGGTTCAACCCTGACCCCAAGCCTCACACCCCAGTTCCCCAAAGACCTGCCCGCAAGAAGCACATGGTTGCCACGCGGAAGCCAATACCACACCACACCTGGCACCCCCGCTTACACTCAGAAGACCTCACATCCCCCAGAGATCCCTTAGGTAAGTACCCTTAGGCCATCACAACACCATCACAAACACTACACACACACCCCACCCAGACTCACCAGAGTGTCAAGACCCCCAAACCTCAAAAACGGCAGCCCACCCCACCCGTAGACCTCAACCCCCTCACAAGAGAAAGCCAAAGATTGACCACACACCACCCCCAGCACCCCTTACCGTACAACAAGATTCATCCAAACAGTAACTAACCCCAGCCCCCAACCTGAAGGGTACAACAGGAGACACCCACACAGCAACCACCCCCAGTCACAGACTACCAAACATCACATTAAGAGATGGTCAAATAGCAACTAACCATAGAACCTAATCACAAAAAAAGACATTGCCAAACAGCAACTAACCTTAGAACCTAAACAGTACAACAAGACGCAGCCAAATAGCAACTAACCGTAGCTGTGGAACATCAAATTCTAAGTCGTTAAATACGAGCAATTTGGTGACCAGCAGGGAAGGAGAAAAGACAATAGTACTTCATACAGGTACACCAACACACAAGGACCAGAACAGGACGACCAGAGAGAAGAGTATTCACACCATAACCAGGAAGCTAAACAGTGAGTCACTGTCAGGAGGAGGTACTCTGTAGGGCTGCCTGATCAGCCTCCTCTCGCAAGGAAACCACATTGAGGAGGGTTAGGAGAGAAAGAGGATCCGGGACAAAGGACGGCAGTAAAACGTGGGAGACAGGAAGGGGGACAAAAGGCTTGACTGAAGGGCAATCCTGACAAGGGTCATACAGGCCAGACACAAGTAATGATTGAAGAAACCCAAACACCACACCCACCGTGATGCCTTCCCACCCTCCTACCTCATGGGAGCACATGTGAACTGAGCTAGGCCCGGCAAACTAACAACCGGGCTACCCGGCGAACCCATTACCGACCAGACGAGTACATAATCACAGCAACCGAGGAGAGAAGTAGCCAACGGGCGGCCCGGCAGGTATTTAATTGTCACTTTTGCTTATGTAATATTGCCAACTGACCTGATAGAGGAGAGAACGGGCATCCCTGTGAGTACCTATTTCTCAAGCAATCAGCCCAGCAAGCAGGTGTCTATCCACACTGCTAAACATCACTGTATGGAGAAGCACATAAACAATCAGAGAAGGGGCAGCCCGGCAAGCCCCTTCTGC